GGGATGGTTCGGCAGAGACGGAGAGAGAGCGATAACGCCCGGAGACACGGACAGAGACACCGGAGAATCCACCAGAACGCTCTTCTGAGCCGGAGCGACGCGACACATGGGGAGAGACGAGCGGGAAACAGAGATCAGTTCTGACACACACTCCCGAGGATGGAAAACTTTGCAGTGTAAGAATAGTAGAACGTTTTGTACTTCCAAAAATAGTTTGTAAGACTGTCTGAAATAATAGTTGACCCATATTGATTCTATTGTTGGCCAATGGCGATTTTTTATTTAATTAAAAAAACAAAATTGAACTTGATAAAAAAAATAATAATAAATTATTTAAACTTTAAATGTCTAAATAAAAACCCCAATGCCGATGATTAAAAATTAATAATAATAAAAAAAAAAGAATCTGTAAGTTTTAATGTCAAAATAAAAGTCCCATCTCAGACTGATCGGCCACATAGAAAACTACCAATGCCGATAATTAAAAATGAAAACGGACAGAAACCTCATTAACCCTCTGCGGTTGTTCGGCCCAAATGGACCCGAAGAATTTAAATAAATTTTTTTTTAAATCACAGCTTCCTCGGAATGGTCCGAAATTTGGTGACTTTGTTGGTATTTGGTATTTGAACACCCAAAAAAATTAAGGACAGGATGTGAGTAGTCTAAGTGGTTGTAAAAAAAAAATAGTCACACTTGGGGTGTTCGGGTCCAAACGGACCCGCATGGAAAATGAATGGGAAATTGGCAAAAATGTGAAAATACTGAGTTTTTTTGTGCGTACAATCTACAAATCAGCCACGATCTTGAAAAAAAGCACACAACAGTGAAGGGGTGAATCTATAAAACATCAAGAGTGCAAAACAGACACATCCACACACACACACAAACACACTTTTATACTCAAACACACCAAAAAATTCAGATTATACATGTGTTTTGCATTTTTAAAATGCTCAGTTTGTCCACCAGATGGCATCCATCTCATTTCAAAAATTGCTTTTATGAGGCCTAGGCTTGACTCTAAAATGAAATACCGCTTTAAAAAAATATATATGTTTAAAAAAATATATTTTTTCTATTATGTTCAATGGGGGGAAATGTTGTCATAATTATTGCATTAATCCTAATTATATATATATATATTTTTTTTTTTGAAATTCTCAAAACACCAAAAAAGAAAAGAAAAAATATTGATTAAATCATGATTTTTTTTTAAAAATATGAATCCATTTGGACCCGAACACCCCGAGTGTGACTCTGAAACAAACAACCTCAGAGGGTTAATAAATAAACAATAAAAGATCGTGTCAAACGCAAACCCTACCCGTCTGAAATCGTCCATGTCGTCGTCGTGCAGCGAGTCGGACGGCGAGTCGGCGGGGGACAGCGGCTGGTCAGGTGACTGTGGGCGGGGCAGGATGGCTCCGCCCCCTAGACTCAGGCCGAGCTGCGCGCTGAGCTCTGATTGGTCGATGGTGGTCAGCTGGTTGTGGCCCAGCAGGCCGTGGTTCATGTCACTCAGAGGGACGTCGATGGTCATCGGAGAAGAGCTACTGAACTGAGAGCCAATCGGATGGCCGAGATCCTGCAGCGGGAAAACATTCATAAAAATTCATATTAGGAAAATATTAAAGCATGGGTCGTTTGCCTTTATCTATTTAAATTGTATATATTTTATATTTAATTATGCAAATATATGGTTCAGATCACTCAAACCACTTTTATGATGGACAGATGTTCAGCTCAGTGTAGCGTGTGTGAGTGTGTGTGACGCACCATCAGGCTCAGGTGCTCCAGCGGCGCCGGCGCGCTCACGAAGGTCGATGCGAACGACGGGTCGTTTCCTCCCACCACAGCGTTCCCGGGAACACCGGAGCCCTCCCCGAAGTGAGCCACGACGTCCGACACGCCGAGAGCCGAGTCTGTGTGTGTGAGTGTGTGTGTGAGGGAGTCCGGGTCCAGCGAGATCGGCGGGATCTCAAACTCCTCGTCACCCAGACTGGGAGTGTGAAACGTCTGCACACACACACACACACACGATGATGATCGACTCAAACCAGTGATTTACAGTTCATTTCAATAAAACCAAAGGCTGAAATCGTGACATGATTCATGTTATGATAATGAGTGTGAGTGTGTGTGTGTGAGAGCGAGTGTGTGTGTGTGTGTGAGGCACCTCTGCATGCTGGATTTGCGCGGGGAACGTGGAGAGTCGTACCTCTGAGGAGGACAGGAAGTGATGCCCCTCGTCGCTGATGGACAGGAAGTTGTCATTGCCGCCTGGGAACTGAGAAATACGCAAACACACAACATGAACGCATCTTTTATCAATTCATAATGTCAAACTTTAATAATGTGAATGCTAATAAACTGATAAAAACAAAACGACCCCGGGATTTTACAAACAAAAACACCATGTTTTCTTTGCTACAGTACCTGGTTATTATAATTATAAAGTTACTGTAATCAATCATTATGCAAATTTACAGAATGAGAGGACAAATGTAATATTTAATATAATATACAAAATGAAACATCGAAAATTAAAATATAAAGGAGCTGAGTGAAAGTTCTTCAAAAAAATCTAATTTCATGAAAATAATAATTTACAGAAAATGTATAGAAATTGCATTCATAAAGAGCGATTTAATGTTAAAAAATAATACACAAATATACAAAATTCAACAAAATAAAAATGTTGCTTGAATAAAAATTAAAATAAATCACAGAATTTTTTTTTTACAGATAATTTAAAGACAATTCAGTTCACACAAAAAGAGATATTTAATATTAAAATTAATTCACGGAAATAATAACATCACGCAACTCTGACAAACAAAATCTAGAACTTTAAAATATAAATTTCCCGGACTAAATTCTCAGACATTTCCCGTTGCGCTCTGGTCACCTTCTGCACGGCATCGAATCCGTTAAACGCCTGCGGATCCAGGAACTCCGGGTCACCGGGATTCCCGCTTCCGTCCGAGAGGTCCGCGTAAAAATTCAGGTCCATATCGCGGAGAACCGGCGATACCGAGACCTACGAAACCCGAGGAAACGTTAAACTGACCGCCGCGAGAACCTGTCAAAACGCACCGAAAGAACTCCGTGACGTCACGAGGACTGAATCGGGCACGCGCGTTCGATCATTCCGTTCGATTTCAGGCCTGCAGTCGCGAACTGCGGTTCCGATCACATGCAAAAACAACCGTTACAACCATGTAATGCACATTTACACCCTTACGACGAAAAACAGATACACTGATTCCGAATCAATCGCGTTTGATGATTCCGACTCGAGTCCGCATTGACGTGAGGTGAATGACAGCACACACGTGACAAACCCGATATACATTAACAGACACAACCGCACTCTTCGTGAATAAAGAGAATAAGCTGTTGTTATGACGGCTTTGTAACGCGTTAATACATTTATGCGTTTAAAAACATCCGATCGACTAGCGCTTTTCCAGCTGATCTCAGCGCTGCTCGTGCACAAGCTTCAGGAACCGCAATCGAGCGAGAATCACGGATCTGACACTCGACGGGGACAAGGTCTTATTCAATACATCATAAAAAAGCGATGCGTACTGCAAATCACACTCTTTTATGAACATAACGGGATAAAATATATATCTTAAATACCCACAAATAAAGCGTGAAGACTGTAAACAGCATTATTAGTAATTAAATGTGTCGTTTAATAAATGATAAAACCCCCACTGGCTCGCGGTAATGGTATGTCCCACGGCCTATTAAAGAGTAAACATTACGTATCCCATATAATTACTATATAATTACTACTTCAATGGCCCCAAGTTTATTCTTTACAACACATCAAGGTGTTTATGAGTGTATATTTAATCGAATAATTGTGGATAATTGAAGAGGAGTGTGCTGATGGGACTGAATGAGTTTTCACTGATGCTTCGGGCTCTAACTTATACACACATTCAGCACTTTCTACTGACAGCTTGGTCTTCTTACCTCCATAATCGCCCTGAAATCGACACACTTTTCTCTCTGTTTGTGTGTGTGTGTGTGTGTTTGTCCGACCAAAGCGATTCTCACGGAAAAAACACAAACAAATCGCCCATCATGGCACCCGCTTTTCCGGGTTAGAGATGAGCGGAAGTGACGCAGAGGCCCCGCCCTTCACAGAAACTCTTGTTGTTGTTTTTTTCGTAAAGACTTTTCTTTAATATGGGATCTTTTCAACAAATAATTTATAGTTCGGTTTAAATTTAAGGTATCTTGCTTTGTGAGTATTTACCCATCACACAAACCAAGTCCTGTCAGAAACACTAGAGAAAAACAAATATTTACGTTTATTATAATAACGTTACTTTAATATTGTAATTTTATAAGTAACGAAAATATTATAAATATGCAATATAGTACACATATGTAGTAAAATACTAATTGTATTATAGTTTATAAGTGAAATGTATTATTTTATTAAATATAAGCTCACATTTCTACATAAGGTCATTAAATGGCTTTCCTGAGGTAATACGTAAATATTGAGAGCACTTTTCATAACAATAAATATAAAATGTTACTAACTACTGCAAAATTATAATTTAGTACCATAAACAAGTATTATCTTGTCTGATAAGTATTATCGGACTAAAATATAGTTAAAACATTTAATTGAAAAAAAATAAATAAAATAAAAATGAAAAATTATAAATCTCAAATGTATTTGTATGTTTCCATAATAGTGTTAATAAAGAATGAGGGATATTTAAACTCAAACTATTATATATTTTGTAAGATATTTCACTATTTGTATATTTGTAAGACTAATATACAGATCTGTTCTGAAGCATTTATTCCATATTTACCAAAAACATTATAATAATATAAATCCCCACTCTTGCTTAGTAAGATAAAACCAAATTTATAAAATAATAATACCTTATTTTCCACACGAGTAAATGTTGCGTATGGATAAAAGCAGATTCCCAGGAGAAAGAAACAAGAAAAACACCAAGTTAGCATTTTTAAAAGAGATGTATAACTGTGGTTTTATTTTTAATGTGATAAAAATAGCAGATAACACTCGAATGAACAATGACAAAGAAATTCACAATCCCTGCACATAAACATGTAAGCAACTTATGATAAAAAATTAAAAAACATAAATGCATAGCATACACCTCCATAGATAAAGCAGGACACAGACACACACACACACACATGTATTGCTTTGATGATCATGCAGAACTAGCGCGAGCGAGCGGCGTCACATGACTGTTACGAAACGCCGACCCTGACATTACACACACACAGAAATATACAAAGAAATGTTAAAAAAAACTGGAACTTGAACTTGAACTGGAACTGAAACTGAACTTTTTTATACTTTTATTTCCTTTTTTTCCCACATTTATGTCTGCATTTAAGCCGTGGCCATGAGAAATAGACGTATGAAAAACATATCAGAAATTTGAAAAGAGTGTAAATGTGTTTATGATGATGATGATGTCAGGATCGGCCCACCACAGACGCCGCCCTCTCGCCGCTGCAGCCAATCGCGGTTCATCTTCTGCGCGGAGCACAAACGCTGCTATGAGCGCGTTGTGTTTCACCGAAGAACGCATTAGTTGAACGTTCAAGTTCAGATTCCTTTCGAACACACACACACACACACACACACACACTAGGTCCAGTATCAAACGCTTCGGCCCTGAGTCAGTCGCGCGATTGGTCCGTCACATGCACCAGGCTCGATGACATCATATGTGTGCACAGATATTGCTGCATGTCGTCATACGGTTGTGGCGGCGCAAACACTAAAATCGAATGATTATTATTATTATTGTCATTAGAGCGCGAGAGACGCGGCTGCCAGTCTCGTCAGGGGTCAGGGGTCATCGCAGTCAAGCCGACACACGCGTCCCTCTCGCTGGCCTGTGATTGGCCCTCAGGAGTAGATGGTGATGACCTCACTTCCTCCGCCTCGCACGAGCAGCACTCGCTCCAGACCCTCGGTCAGCACCTCCAGGAACTCCATGTCTGCGGGAGGCCGGGTCAAGGAGCTTTACACACAGTTTTATCTCCGACAAACATCGTATAAATATCTACAAATAAATATGAAAGAGGTTTTAGACAGACAGAGATTACGAGATTCCTGTTCATTACTACCGAAGTTCAAATCTTATATAACACTTTGACATCAGCAAAACAACACGCTTATGATGAAACTATGACACACTTCCAGCAGAAGGATACAGTTCTCGTCCCCGTCCGTGTTCCTGGGCGGCCCGGGCATGTTGAGCAGCACCAGCCGAGCATCATGGGACTTGTTGACGATCACCTCGTTGAGTTTCACAGCCGTGTGCATCCGCCGGACATTAGACTGATCCCTGCCAGAAATACACCACTTAAATATTATAATATTACTATAATAACACAATATTATATGTAATTAAATAATACATTAAATTAAATAATACAAATCTAAATAAATAAATAAAAATACTTTTTTTATTAAATATAATATATTTATAATTTTAATATTTGATATAAAAGTTAGGGATGGGCAACGATTAATCGCGATTAATCGCATCCAAAATAAAAGTTTGTGTTTACATAATTAATTTGTATATATAAATACCCACACATGCATGCATATATTTAAGAAAAATGTGTTATTAATATATCAAATATTTATATTTATATGTAATATTAATTGTAAATAAAATATATACATGCACATTTTTCTTAAATATAATGTTGCCCATCCCTAATAAAAGTAATAGAATTAAAATAAATAAAAAAATAAAAAAATGTAACAATAAACATAATTTTTGATCATAGTATTAGTATGAGCATGTGACCCTGAGCGAGTGTGTGTGAGCGACTCACGGGCGTATGTTCAGCATGTCCCTGAAGCCCTCCGGTGTGCTGCAGCACGAGGCCGTGTGTGTGTGTGTGTGTGTGTTGCTGAGCAGCTGCAGGGCCCGGTCTTTGGTCCAGGTCATGTGGACCCGCCGGTGATCCGCGCTCTTCTCCGGCCCGTCGGTGTCCTCGTCCTCGTCAGAGCCGATGCTCGTCAGGCGCAGCATCGAGTTCCTGTCCTTCACCAGCTGGGCCTGACACACACACACACACACTTCATAAAACGCACGAATGCTACAGGAATATTTTAGATAACTATAATCATAGCCCTCCTTGTTTCTGTGTCTACTGCTGTCTTTCTAGGGTTCGAGGGACAGTGAATCTACAAGCAGACACTAGACACACTACGGGTGCGCGATATTGACCAGAAATCATATCGAAAACTATATAAATATAAATAGTGTGCTATTTTCATGAGTTTCGTCCGGCTGATTCATTTAGTAACCAGGAATCATTGAATCATTCAACAAGTCACTGTTAATGAGTGAGTCATTGAATCATTTGACAAGTCACTGTTAATGAGTCAGTCATTGAATCATTAAACAAGTCACTGTTAATGAGTGAGTCATTGAATCATTAAACAAGTCACTGTTAATGAGTGAGTCATTGAATTATTCAACTAGTCACTGTAACTGAGTGAGTGAGTCACTGAATCATTCAACAAGTCACTGTTAATGAGTGAGTCACTGAATCATTTGACAAGTCAATGTTAATGAGTGAGTCATTGAATCATTCAACAAGTCACTGTTAATGAGTGAGTCACTGAATCATTCAACAAGTCAGAATTAATGAGTGAGTCATTGAATCATTTGACAAGTCACTGTTAATGAGTCAGTCATTGAATCATTAAACAAGTCACTGTTAATGAGTGAGTCATTGAATTATTCAACTAGTCACTGTAACTGAGTGAGTGAGTCACTGAATCATTCAACAAGTCACTGTTAATGAGTGAGTCATTGAATCATTTGACAAGTCAATGTTAATGAGTGAGTCATTGAATCATTCAACAAGTCACTGTTAATGAGTGAGTCATTGAATTATTCAACTAGTCACTGTAACTGAGTGAGTGAGTCACTGAATCATTCAACAAGTCAATGTTAATGAGTGAAACATGGAATCATTTAACAAGTCACTGTTAATGAGTGAGTCATTGAATCATTCAACAAGTCACAATTAATGAGTGAGTCATTGAATTATTCAACTAGTCACTGTAACTGAGTGAGTGAGTCACTGAATCATTCAACAAGTCAATGTTAATAAATGAAACATTGAATCATTTAACAAGTCACTGTTAATGAGTGAGTCATTGAATCATTCAACAAGTCACTGTTAATAAATGAAACATTGAATCATTTAACAAGTCACAATTAATGAGTGAGTCATTGGATCATTCAACTAGTCACTGTAACTGAGTGAGTCATTGAATCATTCAACTAGTCACTGTAACTGAGCGAGTCATTGAATCATTCAACAAGTCACTGTTAATGAGTGAGTGAGTCATTGAATCATTCAACAAGTCACTGTTAATGAGTGAGTCATTGAATCATTCAACTAGTCACTGTAACTGAGTGAGTGAGTCACTGAATCATTCAACAAGTCAATGTTATTGAGTGAGTCATTGAATCATTCAACAAATGACTGTTATTGAGTGAGTCATTGAATCATTCAACAAGTCACAATTAATGAGTGAGTCATTGAATCATTCAACAAGTCACAATTAATGAGTGAGTCATTGAATCATTCAACAAGTCACTGTTATTGAGTGAGTCATTGAATCATTCAACAAGTCACTGTTATTGAGTGAGTCATTGAATCATTTAACAAGTCACTGTTAATGAGTGAGTCATTGAATCATTCAAAAAGTCACAATTAATGAGTGAGTCATTGAATCATTCAACAAGTCACTGTTAATGAGTGAGTCATTGAATCATTCAAAAAGTCACAATTAATGAGTGAGTCATTGAATCATTCAAAAAGTCACTGTTATTAAGTGAGTCATTGAATCATTTAACAAGTCACAATTAATGAGTGAGTCATTGAATCATTCAACAAGTCACTGTTAATGAGTGAGTCATTGAATCATTCAACAAGTCACAATTAATGAGTGAGTCATTGAATCATTCAACAAGTCACTGTTAATGAGTGAGTCATTGAATCATTCAACAAGTCACAATTAATGAGTGAGTCATTGAATTATTCAACTAGTCACTGTTATTGAGTGAGTCATTGAATCATTTAACAAGTCACAATTAATGAGTGAGTCATTGAATCATTCAACAAGTCACTGTTAATGAGTGAGTCATTGAATCATTCAACAAGTCACAATTAATGAGTGAGTCATTGAATCATTCAACAAGTCACTGTTAATGAGTGAGTCATTGAATCATTCAACAAGTCACTGTTAATGAGTGAGTCATTGAATCATTCAACAAGTCACTGTTAATGAGTGAGTCATTGAATCATTCAACAAGTCACTGTTAATGAGTGAGTCATTGAATCATTCAACAAGTCACAGTTAATGAGTGAGTCATTGAATCATTTAACAAGTCACAATTAATGAGTGAGTCATTGAATCATTCAACAAGTCACAATTAATGAGTGAGTCATTGAATCATTCAACAAGTCACTGTTAATGAGTGAGTCATTGAATCATTCAAAAAGTCACTGTTAATGAGTGAGTCAATGAATCATTCAATAAGTCACTGTTATTGAGTGAGTCATTGAATCATTCAAAAAGTCACTGTTAATGAGTGAGTCAATGAATCATTCAACAAGTCACTGTTATTGAGTGAGTCATTGAATCATTCAACAAGTCACTGTTATTGAGTGAGTCATTGAATCATTCAAAAAGTCACTGTTATTGAGTGAGTCATTGAATCATTCAAAAAGTCACTGTTAATGAGTGAGTCAATGAATCATTCAACAAGTCACTGTTATTGAGTGAGTCATTGAATCATTCAACAAGTCACTGTTAATGAGTGAGTCAATGAATCATTCAACAAGTCACTGTTATTGAGTGAGTCATTGAATCATTCAAAAAGTCACTGTTAATGAGTGAGTCAATGAATCATTCAACAAGTCACTGTTATTGAGTGAGTCATTGAATCATTTAACAAAATGGAGCAAAAACTGACAATATTGTACCTAAAACGTAAGTCACTTAATATTACCTTATTTTTATTGACCTGTTGTATAAAATCAACAAATGGCACTTGTAATCGTGCTGATATCTAGAGGAACTCTTCATGTGATATTGATGAACAACATTTATATTTATAGAAATATATAAATAGATATATAAACACATTAATTACACAATGCTCACAGTGTATGTGTGCGCTAGGTGTGTTTTAGTGAAGCGCATGATAATGTCAGATCGCACATTGGTAAAAAACAATCCCGATATATATATCGCACACCCCTACTAGACACACACACACACACACACACACACACGTCCTCTCTAATTTTAAACACGGGCTACGTCTGAAGCTCACTAGAGCTGAACGAAAGCTTGAACTCACGTCATCAAAGCTCCAGCGCACTCTCTTCACATCGAGTCCAGGTCAGAGGTCATATGAGCAGATGAAGTGAGTATTTCATATGAGTGCACACACACACAGACACACACACACTCGGCTCACCTCTCTCTCGCGGTCCGACTTGGACAGACGCATCTGCCTCAGCATCTGCGATCTCTGCTCCATCATCAGAGTCCTCTCGTACGTGTACGCGCTGATGTCACTGTCGTGCTGAAACACACACCACAACCTTCAACGACCTTTAACCTTCAGTGTTAATATAACTCACAATATCTCATCATAAGTCAGATTATAACATGCTGAGATACTACAAAACAGGTTTTATTCAACATGTCGAAATTGTATTAAGTACTAATATATTAAACAGGTGTAAATCCAGCGTTTAATGTTGTTTATGTGTGTATGTGGTGTGTTTATTCTGCTTTAACACACACCGTGTGTGTGAGTGAGTGAGTGAGTGGAGGCGGGGCTCATTTGCATATTCATAGCACCACACATACTAAATGAGGCAAGGGTGTCGAGTTATATTCAAGATATTTTATGGCTAAATGTGAACGATATCTAAGTTTTATTTTTTACCTTCTTGGAATCGATAAACAGAATCGAAATCATAAAAATTCAAACGTTCCCAGCCCTAAACACACACTATTTACATCTAAACGTGTGTAAAGTCTTTCTTCCTGTGACACAAAGAGTTTATGTAATCAAAAAACACCAACATCATCCATTTATAATATCGGTTGTACAGCATTTTAACCCCTGAACTGTCACCGTCCCGGTACCGGGACGCCTAACTTTATTTCACTATATTTCTATTAAATCTTAATCTAATTATGACAAATTATATATCGTTGGAAAGGTCTAAGACTTCTAAATAGATATTCTACCCCTGTTTTGTGTTAAAAATTATGTAGGAAGAGTAATTGATGAATTTATGACAAGAGTGCACCTCAAAAAAATCTGCATCATAACAGGAGTTTTGACCTTTGTCACAAAAAGTCGATGCACCCACTTTTAATCATTGAAACTTCTGTTTTTATGCTAAAAGTTCATAATAAAACATATAATCTAGTATTTTTCAATAAAAAATAAAAAATTATAGTATATTATTATCCTCCAAAAATTATAATATTTATATTTATTATCCTCTAAAATATATATCGCCTTTTTTATTATATCACATATTTTAGTAGTTATCATAAATTAGGTATCATTTGAAAGCTTATAAACTCAGAATTCATTGTGTTAAAACTGTTTTATAATTGAACGTTGCGTTACCATAGAAACGGTACTTATTTTATCAGGCTCCTCCCCTTTTGGGTGTCATTATATTTCATAAATTATGATCAAAACCTTTTCTAATCTTGACAAAACTGATATTGTCAGAAAGGTCTGAGTCTCAAGGTTCCAAATTTTGTGACAGAATTGATGTTTGGACAGAAATGTATTAATTTGTTAAGGCAGAATATATACAACTAAATTCAATGGAATTCAATGGCACCCGGTGGCTATTTTTGGTACTACGCCTAAACAAAATCTCATGGGAACTTCAATTTTTGTGATATCAACTTCAAATTTGGAACATAACTTGGTTAGATTTATGGCTTTGATTTTATAGAAATTTTAGAGTAAAAAATATTTTGTAAAATATATATTTTATATAAAATAAAAAATATATAGTACAGTATATTTGATTTACTGTAAATTTAAACTTCCATAACTTTTTCATACTTTCATTTTTTTTAAGTGTTAATATTCTGCTGAGTGTTTTCTTTAAAACAAGACCAAACTTGGGTATATTCCAAAGCATTCTTAAATTACAACCATTTAAGTTTGAATAGTGCATTTTAACCCCCATTCTCAAAAGGGGGGGTGACAGCTAAGGGGTTAAGTAGAGCCAGACCGATATTATCGGCCGATATTAGGCATTTTCCATAATATCGGTATCGGCAGTTATAATGGCAGATAAATGAATATTTCAAAAATAAAATAAAAACGAACAAAACACGCTTTAATCGTCTCTCCTTGGCCTGTTATATTGAAAATGTATGTTTTACAATTTGCAGTATGATGTTATCTATTGCTAAATTATGGCTCATCATAGACTAGCTAACCACAACGCTAGCTAATGCCGCTATCATCAGTGGAAGACCGTTAACGTTAACATTAATGAGCTTGGAAACCACAATTAACCTTTTCTGCCTAAATAAAGTAATGATTACTGTATTTATAACTAGCATATCTCTAGTTACAGTCCCTGTATTGTAAAATGTAAGTTATACTTGCGAGGAGTGAACATTTAGACATTGAGAAAAAGTATCAAACGTATCTCGTGCAGAAAAGTTAGCTTTTCATTTACACGTGTAGGGCCCTATAAAATCCGTTTTATTTTTTCCCCAAATTCCGTTTTTCCGTTTTAATTTTTGGGAATTTTTAATTGTTTTACCCTTTAATGTTATTTTAGTTGTAAAAAGAGCTTTTGATGTTGCTTTTAATGTTAATGATTAAAATGTACACAAATAAAATAGGCATTTACTCTTAACCCTTATGTGCTGTTGTGGTTTTTTCAGCCACTAAGGGGTATTTTTTAGTCTTAATTTGGCCGTAACTTTTTCTTTGTTTCAGCAAATGGAATGATTTTTGGTGACAAATCTTATTTTGACACATATTTTGGGAAAATGCTTTGAAATTTTTCAAAAACTCAACAGTACACTCTGGGCAAATTCACTACCCTTTCGTTATGTTCGTGGCTGGAAAAAAGCCACTACTTTAAACTGCTGTAAAAATGTATCAGATAAAAAAAATTTTTTCGCATAAATCTATTAACCGACCTCAGTCCTGATTAAAACTGCTAAATTTTAAAAAGAAATTCAGGATTTTAACTCTTTAATTGCCAAATTCATAAATGATGTCACTGATTTGGGAAAAAACACACACAAAATGACTTATTTTCAATATAAAATATGATTGTGGACTGGATTTTTTTTTTACCTTTTATCAACGAACATAACGAAAGGGTAGTGAATTTGAACAATGCACAAGGGTTAAAATGACAAATACTGCATGATGTAACATAACACTGCACTCTAAGTACTTCAAGTAACAACAAAATATGGTTATGTTGGGACTAATTATTATTTTATTTATCAGAACTTTAATATATTTTGAAGTTCCTCTGTTGTGTTGTGACAATAAAATAAGTTTTTTTTAAATGCTTTATCATATTATTTTAGTTAAAACTCATTCATAACTACAAACAACTATGTTAGGGAAATTTGTTAATGTTTTGTTGCACGTTTCTAAAAAAAATATATATATATATATATATATATATATCGGCCGATATATCGGAATATCGGATTTTAAAACCCCAAAATATTTCTATCGGTATCGGCCTTCAAAATCCTTTATCGGCCGGGCTCTAATTTTAAGGTGTCCATGTGACAGTGCTGAAGAAAACTACATGTACTTACTACAGGGTTAGAGTTAGTGTGTGTAATTGTGTGTGCCCACCATCTCGACGACCTCCACGTATGCGTCGATGCGCAGGTGGTACAGGAACGTGGCCAGGTCCTTCTTCATCTGGATGGAGTTGTCCTCCATCTGGGCCACGGTGAAGATGCGCATTGAGCATTTATGCCACACCTGAGACACACACACACGTGCAGTTACTCCACACACACAATCACCAGTGAACTTTGACTAAACAGGAACACAAATGTCAGCCAATGGAGTTAAGTTAAAGGGAAGTTTTCAAATATGTTAATTTCTTTTACTTTCAAGATATTTGGACATTAGGGCTGGGTATTGACACAAATTTCACGATTTGATTTTGATTCACAAGCTTGCAATTCGATTCGATTCAATATCGATTATTTTGGACATCAGTTACAATAAATGGCAAATTTTCTCAAGGAAATCAAATCTCTTAACTAATGCTGTAAACTATGGGGCAATCTCTAATATGAAGGTAATAATGAACTGTTTTGTAGCTACACAAACACTTAAATTACACTTTTATTTATTTTTATAATAAGAAGATTATATGAAATATAAATATTTAAATGGTGGCTGTCAGAAAAACTTTAGATTTATTCAAATATGCATTAAATATTGAAGAACATTAAGATTATAATGCATAATATGGTGTATATATTCAGCAAAATGTTCCTCTCTAGAGTTATTTTTTTCGAGCTGACTAACGAGTTTATGTGGGTTTTCTGAGGTAAATATGACGATACATTGATTACAAGCTGTTTAACTGACGTCTTTCCACGGTTGAAACGCTGATTGAGCGAATCAATGTGACATGATACGGATTTGGATAAGTTGTACTCTATCTTTAACACACTTTCAGATGCTCATTCATGTTTATTTGGCGCTGTAACTGGTATTATTAAGCCGGAAGAGAGATCAGCGCTGCTGCTTCTCCAGAGCGATCTCACGCCACAGCGACAAAACGCTATTTATGTTTTTGAGTTTCTAAAGAAAATGGACGTCATTTGAAAATTGAGACTTTGTTTCATATCAATAGTAACAAAGGACAAAGATTACTGCGATTTTTTGGATGTGAACAGCCGCGATACAATGATCCATTCATTCAAATGAAACAGGATGACTAATCGATTCTTGAGATTTAAGAATCGATATCGGTTCGTAAAAATGAGAATCGATTAATATCGAGAAATCGATATTTATTACCCAGCCCTACTAATGATGATTAAATAAGACAGATGTTTAGGTATTTGTTTGGTAAAACAGGATATATACAGAACCACGACACACACACCTTGTGTTGTCTGAGCAGGAACGGCAGCAGCATCAGCATCCCCCCGTCGTGCACGATCCACCACACGTCGATGAAGCCCTCGGTGCACGGCTCGCTGTTGCTCGGGAACAGAGAGATGTTCTTGGGCACCAGTAGAGCCAGATGAGCCGTCGTGGTGACGCGCACCGTGTCTGAAGCAGGAGAGAGACTGAGACAACTTCCTCAAAAACACACTTCCTGCACACTTTTTCAAGTAAAATGTAAGGCTTTTTAAGACCTTTTTAAGACCTGAAGAAATCAAAATTAATACCATACATTAGGGGTGTGCGATATTGACAAAATTATATCTCGATATTTTCAACGTTTTGTTGATAAACACAAAACAAAAACACAATCAGTAAAATATCAACTAATTACAATAATTAGTTGATATTTTACTGATTGTGTTTTTGTGCTGGTGCCATGGCTGGTTTAGGCCTGTTGTTGACAGCAGACTCGCAGATATTTATATTTTTCATATTCTATGCAGTGTTCACAGCAGTGACAGAAATTATTAATTAATGTGCAATATTTGCCACCTTAAATTGATTTCCAGGGGCATTTTCACCTATTTATGGAGATTCAGAGTTATGCACCACGTATATACAGTAATTATACTTATTCATACAATAATATTTAATTACACAATAATTATGCAGTACCACTGTTAGCAGTCAAATTAAATCATTCGATCAAAAATCCATCTTTGCAGTGCAGAGGTGACGCAGAAGCGGCATTAATATATACACTCCATTTACAATTGCATAAATCAAGCTATAATTTTTTTTTTTTTAAATCAATATTCAATATTTAAATGTGAAATGATTTCCAATTTTAACGTTCTACTTTTAATATGAAACTAAAACCGCCAGTAGGCGGCGGTAAATCGCTGTCTAAATAAGCGAGTTGAGGGAGTCATTCATTCAAACGATTTGTTCAAACGGGAAAGAAGCAAGTGATTGAATCGTTAAAATGACTCGTTCAAAACGCGGATTTCCTTCACGAGATCATCGCTGTCTGTTGCATTGAGACTTCATTTTGAAATTCTAGTCGGCGAAATAAAGGGAAAACAAACAATATCGATAATGTTGTGTCCAAAAACTAACTCACAATGTCAATTTATTTTTAATTTAACTATTAATAGACAATACACATCGCACACCCCTACGCACATAAAGAATTAACTTACGACTTAACTGACATTTGCCAACTTTCTTCTCTCCTCTTCTCCTCTCTCGCGTGCAGGAGACGGACGTTATTTTACCGCGAATGTGACGCGAATTGTCACGTGAACAAGCAAATCCACAAAGATAGATAAAAATGAATACGTACGCAAATTAGATGGTTTTAATTTGGAAAACATTAAGATATGACTAAGTCGAAGTGTCATCTAAAATTTAAGACCTTTCATACCTAAAAATAAGACTTTTAAATTTTAAATATCTAATTTAAGACTTTTTTAAGGACCCGCGGGAACCCTGACACAGTGTCTGAGGCGCTTCGCTATCTCAGCTCTTTTCTCTCAGTGTCTGATACGCTTCGTTTGATTCAGTCTCTCTAAGCTCCGCCTCTCTGAGAGCTGCTCTGCTCTGATTGGTCAGAAACGCTCATTATCATATCTGAGTCTCAGCTCTTGATCACAGTGATACGAACAGTGACGATGGCGTGGGTTTCACCGTATCAATCTCAGAAAACAGCGTCTCCTCGACACGAACCCAACTCGCTACAGTGTTGGAGGGCGGAGCTAAGAGACGCTGCTCAGCCAATCAACACCATAGGCTGGAATTATGCTAATTAGTTACAAACCTACATAGAAATTGAGACAGAAGTAGATTATAGTATATATTATATTAATTAGATTTTTTTTTTCATAATAATATCCGAAGGTTATCTTTAAAAGAACTGAATCACTCAGTGATCAGTGTTGATTCTGTTAATTAAAATTAAAACCACTTAAAATATTTTTTTGTTGGATAAATATGGGTTTTAAAGCGCTTTTGCGTCACATCTCGGAACACAAATGAAGATATTTCTGATTAAATCTGAGGGATGTCTCACTCCTAAACACATAGAGGTTTGGAACAACATGAGGGGTGAACTAATTTTTGGGTGAACTATCCCTTTAAAAACACGCAAAATTATGTCAAAACTCTGGTCTTGGTGAGTAACCTTGTAAAGACAGTCGTTTATGTCTTAAATTAGCATTAAACACTATAATGAGACAGTAATGATCCGTGCACAACCGCTAGTTTAAAGTGAACGCAGCCATATGTGTCTGTCATTAACAACATAATATAGCATTAATTGTAAGCAATCAGAATTAATAGCCTATGTATTTTATTCAGTCTGGACTAGTGTTGTCAAAAAACTCGGTACTTCGGTACCAAGTCGGTACTAAAAAAAAAAAAATGTTACGCTACGCTGGTATTAGTATTGTCATTTAATGTCAGTGCCAGTTCTAGGCGTATTCTTGCCTTTATAACTCAGCAGGTTTAAAATGCCTTTTTAAAATTAAATATGAATGCAGTTTTAGATTAAATAAAAGGACAGTCAAGTCAAATAAAACATGTTTTATGGTAATGCATTCATCAACATTACTTAGTTATCAACACATTGAGTGAACAATATATTTTTACAACATTAATTAATGTTTGAAAATGTTATTTCTTTTTCTGAAGTGTTTATAATACAAATGTACAGTTTCCATACTTGTAACCGTGATAAACACTTAAATATATGTAAATTTAAACTAAGCTTTGGTACCGAAATTGGTACCGAGAACCGTGAATTTTAACTGGTATTGGTACCGAATACTGAAATTTTGGTACCGTGACAACACTAGTCTGGACTAAAAAGACTACCCAGTGTTATTTTACGTTGGATTTACTTTATTCAGTTTGTATTTCTGACATACCCAAAAAACTACCCAAAAATGTCTCTTTATTCTTATTTTTCAATTTAACTCAAAGATTGAAATCAAGCTTCCATGTGTTGCATAAACTCTTAACAAAAAATTACCTCATCGTAAAAACAAGCATTTATTTTTTAGATAAGATCAATGTAATGAAAAAAATGCCTAAATATTAATATATTTATTTATCTATATCTGTCTTAAACCTAAAATAACCTGATCCTGTCTGACTTGTCCAATTTCCAGCATCAATTCTGCATCAAAATCCCGTCTATTCATTGTATGCATTTAGTGTATAGCGTACCTAAAATAAAAAGAGTTTTATATACAGGTTTGTGGCTCTTAATTTCTTTGTATTAATTAACCACTAGTAAACTTATGTCCTGTTCTTTTTTTATAAATAGGATTTGTATTACATCCATATTCATTATAGTTTAATCGAGAATCGAAATCGAAAATCGAATCGAGAATCGAACTGAGAGCTTGCGAATCGAAATCGAATCGAATTGAACATGTGAATCGATACCCAGCCCTAGTTTTAAAGCGCTTTTACGTCATCTCGGAACACAAACGAAGATATTTCTGATTAAATCTGAGAGCTGTCTCACTCCTCCGTGGGCTTTCCGGCCCAGAAAAGTTATTAAAGACATCGTAAGTGAACTACTTATGTCCGTGTGCGGGTGTGATGGGAAGGCACTCACTGATGAAGGTCTTCCAGCTCTGCGGGTCTTCGCTCTGCCTCCAGGCCAGTGGCCAGCCCATGACCACAGTGTTGTGCCTCATGCCCCCCAGCCCGCTCGACTGGATCATGTGACTGATGCCCTCGCGGGGCTTCTGGGCCACGATGCAGTGGACGAAACCCTTGACGCGCTCCTTCTCCATCAGATGCCTGAGAGTCTGGGGGAACAGAGACACGTGAGCTCACGGTTACATCGCGGTTCATTTCAGAGCTTGACAGGAAGTGCACATTACAGTTTACAGTGATCTGTTATCTGCATTTCAGAAATGTACATATAAAAAATCACAGTGAGCTAATAATGTATTCATTTAAACAATGTAGTTATTTAATTTGGGTCACACAACCCCAACGATAAGATAAAGACGAGTCTTGTGTTTCAGGCTCGACTAGAACAGGTTTTCCTGCTTGAATGTTGATTATTCTCCTCATATTTACTTCCTGTCTCTATGAAGCCCCTCCTCCTGAAAAGCACTCTGTGCTCTGATTGGTCGGCTGGTGTTTGGTTTTATGATTGGTTTATTAAGCAGTGTCGAGACTTGCGATTCACGCGATTTTGTCGTTTTTTATTCGAATTAAATTTGCAAAGATTTCAAACAAACTTTGTTCGCGTTGTCATAATGAGGTATTTGCAAAGATTTCATAATGAGGAATGAAATCATAACGGAATCATTATAATCATTATATCATTATAAAAATCATTATAACGGAAATCATTATGAACATCAGCTATGCTAATTATTTCCCATCTGCCTTTCTGCTGTTATCTCGGGACGCTTGTCCCGAGAAAAATGGCGTTCGTCAGGTCCAGTTTTGTGTCCAGCCTCTCACGGGGATTTCGGATGCCCCAACGCCTGTGATGAGACGACTCAACGCCTGTGATGAGACGACTCAACGCCTGCGATATGTTATGGCGCCGTTTGATTCATAAACAATATTTATATTTAATATTTATATATAAACAATATGAATGTAAGCCAGAGGAGAACTGGCCCCCGACTGAGCCTGTGTTCTCCCAATGTTTTTTCTCCATCCAATCTGATGGAGTTTTGGTTCCTTGCCACTGTCGCCTTGCTTTTGGCTTGCTTTGGGCTTGCTCAGTTGGGGTTATTTAGTGTTTAGCAATGTTGTTGATCTGTGTTGTGCTACTTTCATGTTATCACTGTGAAGCTGCTTTGATACAATCTGTATTGTGAAAAGTGCTATATAAATAAATGTGACTTGACTTGACTTGAGGTATTGTATGTAGACGTTTGAGGGAAATAAGCGTGACACACCTGCTCCGCGGCCAGGGCCTCGCCGTACGCCTGCAGGAAGTTCCCCGGGATGACGGTCCCCACGATGGTCAGGCCCTTCCCTGCCTTCAGCTGAGACGCAAACGTCAGTAGGCGCGGAGACTTCACGTGGGCGTCCTCGTCCAGCTTCAGCAGCACCAGCAGCTGCGGCCTGTCACACACACACACACACACACACACACATTAACCCTTGTGCATCCTTATGGACATTTTTGTCCTTTTCAGTTTTGTTTTTTTAATCACTTTGCCTGTGTTAAAGCTAACTGCTAAAAACTTGGCACAGGTGTGTATTTTTATAGTAATTTTACTATTTCGCTGTCATTTTTTTGCATTAGGTACAAAAAATACTCCCTCTCAGCACCTTTTGGACAAAAACGTCCCCATTAAAACTGCCATTTTTAATCCCCGGTTCAGTTAACTATAAAATTATGCAATCTTTGTTAAGAGGCTTTCATTCTGATGGACTGTTTTTTATCAGATGGTGTCATTTTTTTTAAAGTTTGGCCTATAAAACAAATTTCGCTTTATTCCTGTTTTCTGGTCCGGCATATTATAGAGCCGACTGGATAAATTATGCAATGATATTTGTGTGGGTGTGTTGGTATGGATGTCAGAGTGTGGTTAGTATGTGTGTTATAAAAAATATGTGTGTGTTCAAATCACTGTGAGCTCCAGTGGGGTTTTGCTGCCACCCAATGGGGAAAATATGTCACTGCGCCCAAACAAACTGTTACCGAAAGCTCATTTTTTGAGATATCATCCTCAACCTATTTAGATTCATGGCTTTGATTTTATTGCAGTTTTGAGTTCAACCTGATTTATAAAATACATATTTTATATAAAATAATTTTCATAAACTTATACCTATATAACTTTTTTTTGGATTAACTTATTATTATTATTTTCCTTCAGCAATAATCTGCAAAGGGTCTTCTTTAAAATTATACCAAACTTAAGTCTGTGCTCCGAAGCGTCACATTTTTTATGACAGTTTTTTTGACATGGACATTTTTGTCCTCTTTTTACCTATGTGTAACTTTTTTTAATTGGTGCACAAGGGTTAAAACTAAAGCATGTCTGTAATATAACACCCTCTACTGCACCATTATCTCATTACTGAGTCACTGAATCTTTACACTGATCTGTTCAAACGCAGATTCATCAGTGATGAGGCACCGCGATCTGTCACTCAACGCTCCTGCTGTGGCTTTAGTTGGAAATACTGGTTGAAATATCCAACATGATGTATCAGGCCACCCTTAAAAATATTCTTGTTTGCCGTAACCCGACCGACCCTGTCAATTTAGGGCCGACCCAATTTTTTATTTTTTTTCCCTTTTAGTCCGACCGACTTGCCGGTTGTAACTTGCGTTCAGACCGACCCATTTTTTTTTTTTTTACTCTTCAAACGACTAATTCAAATTCCATAAAATGATATTTTAGTTAGTATTGTGAAAGTTGCTTATGTCTACAAACGTAGGCTACGTTCTTTCTTTTAAATAAAAACTTGTGGCGTCATAGTCATCTGATTATGTTTACACGATTGGTTTACCCGTGTCACACTGTCTATAAGGCTTATACGTTCGCTTCGTTTCATTCAGTGTTCCCGCTTGGTAAACCCGGTATTAAATGGGCTGAATATCATCCATTTCTATATATAATAACAACATTAAACAATTTGTCTGATGCAATTTTGCTATTCCCAGTCCAGAAGAGAGAGAGAGATCTCTCACCCGGAGCCACAGCGCGAACAACATGACAGCCCTGCTTAATGAGTGACAATGAGGACAGAACGTGGTTACCTACACTTTAGATCTGGGATATTATTCTAATTGTATTTTAGATTTCCGCTTTCAAAGATTATAAAAAGATATTTGAGATGAAACCATTACAGACGCATTCTGTCTATCGCAACTTCCTTCCCTTCACAGCGTTGCGCTGTCATTTCTTCCTAAAACCCAAACGTACCGTCAGAATCAGCACGATCGGTGATTGTTGTAAAATGCAGTCTGTACTGTTGCTAAACTGCGTACGGGTTCAATCATTAAAAGAGCTATTAAAAGCACAAAAGTCTGCGCAAGAGACGCTGTTCACAAGGTGATGCGTGCTCCGAAATGCACTGCAACGGACAAGAAAAGTAGGCTATAGCCTCATTTTGGGCTTCATGTGCGCAGCTAAACTATCAAATATACATAAAATCTAAAATGACCTGCTCTGAGATTCATTTAAACACAGTTTATGTCTTAAATGGATGTGAATAGTTGGAGGATATGGTGGTGCATCAGTCATCTAGATCCGCACTCGGTCTTAAAGGGCAGTAGTCTAATAAACATGTGACGATTGAGCCAGTAATGGGAATCAAACACAACAAAAGGCAGATAAAAATCACTCGCAGCTCTTGAATTATTAACTTAAACTTTAATAAGCATTAATCTAACTATGATAAACCATGCAGTGTCATTTTACATTTGATTTACTAAATTAAATTTCTTTTCAGACAGCGCAACACACTTAACTGAAAAGTAGCTAATTTTAGACCTTTCTGAAATTAAAGCACTGTGTATATAGGCTCATTTGTATCTTTGTTTAATTGTATTCTTTGTTTCACCATGTGTTTGTACTTGTTTTTGCTTATATCTCATGTATTTGGGGAAAAAAGCCTGCACACTGCTGCATAACAAATACAGTAGATATTTATTCATTTTGTGACTGGCCTAAAAACGTAACCGGTTGTAGGTTGCAATAACACCTAGTGGTGGATGCACAGTTTGAAGACCCAGTCAGTGACGTCACAGTATGCAATTAAAAAAATAAAAAAAATAAAATAAATTCATGATCACCATGACCAAAATTTTACTTTTTTTTTTACACTGAATCCTGGAAAAAAAAAATATAGACCTACCTACCGACCCTTTTTAAAAAAAATTGCTGTTACTGCAAACCAAAATATTTTTAAGGATGGCCTCATTAACCCTCTGGGGTAGTTCGTTTCAGAGTCACACTCGGCGTGTTCCGGTCCAAATGGACCCAAAGGGCGGGATTCATATTTAAAAAAACAAAAATCATGATTTTTTTTTTTTACTCGTTTTTTTATAATATTTTTACTTTTCCTTTTTGGTGTTTTGAGAAAATTTCAAAAATAAAAAAAAATTATAATTAGTATTAATGCAATAATTATGACAAAATTTCCCCCCATTGAACATAATAGAAAAAATATTTTTAAAAAAAAATTTTTTTTTTAATTTTTTTTTAAAGCTGTATTTCATTTTAGAGTCAAGCCTAGACCTCATAAAAGCAATTTTTGAAATGAGATGGATGCCATCTGGTGGACAAACTGAGCATTTTAAAAATGCAAAACACATGTAAAATCTGAATTTTTTGGTGTGTTTGTGTATAAAAGTGTGTTTGTGTGTGTGTGTGGATGTGTCTGTTTTGCACTCTTGATGTTTTATAGATTCACCCCTTCACTGTTGTGTGCTTTTTTTCAAGATCGTGGCTGATTTGTAGATTGTACGCACAAAAAAACTCAGTATTTTCACATTTTTGCCAATTTCCCATTCATTTTCCATGCGGGTCCGTTTGGACCCGAACACCCCAAGTGTGACTATTTTTTTTACAACCACTTAGACTACTCACATCCTGTCCTTAATTTTTTTGGGTCTTCAAATACCAAATATCAACAAAGTCACCAAATTTCGGACCATTTCGAGGAAGCGGTGATTTTTTAAAAAAAAATTATTTAAATTCTTCGGGTCCATTTGGGCCGAACAACCCCAGAGGGTTAATGGTGTGTGTGTGTGTGTGTGTGTGTACCTCCAGTTCTTGGTGTGTGGCGGTCCTTCCTCCAGCCGGAGCAGAGCGAAGCGAGCCGCGCTGAGAGACAGACCTCTGATGCCGTCGCCCCACTCCTTCTCTGCCCTGAACACACACACACACACACACACACACTGAGCACTAGTGCTGGACGATTCATCAAAATAAAATCTAAAACTTTATTAGTTCTTATAAACTGGCTGTTGTCCACTAAAGAGAAGATCTAAGGGTCCCTACAGTTTCTCACACACACACACACTCAGACACAATCACAACCACGCACTTACACACACACACTCACACAATCACACACACTCACACACACAACGTACCCGTGATACTCGATGTATTTGTAGATCATTCCGGCTATCACCATGGCGACGATAGCGTAGTACCATGACGATATGAACATGAGAGCCAGACAGATCATCATGCCTAGAAACGACAACGTCCTGAGGGCGACAGGAAATGACATCAACAGATGCCTGCGGAGTGTGTGTGCGATGGCATGAATGTGTGTGTGTGTGTGTGGTTGTGTGTCGCACCAGTGGTAGTATGAGAACCGCGGTCTCCAGTTGGGCGTTCTGAGCAGCGTCTGCAGAGCGCAGGCCAGGTTCACGAACAGGTAACACATCAGGAAAAACCTGCTCACACACACACACACATCAATGAAAAACTATTACAGTTAAATATATATTACAGCTACAAGCAGCCGTAAAGGGTTAAGCGTTCGCGCCATCACGGCCAACTGCAACAATCAGCAATTAAACACTTTCACTTCTTTTGACCACGAGGTACTTTAGGAGTCCCTTCAGGGCATTGTGTTGAAGACACACACCACGTTTCGTAACGATACACAAATACGTTAGTAAATCACCATTTTAAAATGAAAATTTAAAATGGCCGATATGGGTATCGTTCAACTCGGTATGTTCCACTGAATCTAAAGAGACCAGTTGTGTGATTTATGGTCAAACCGTTCAGCAGTTATAAGCAAAAAGAGCCATTTTTCGTATCCCCTGACCACTAGGTGGCGCTGTGCCGAAACTGTGCGGGTCGCCTCAGGTCATGGTTTTCATAACACACACCAAGTTTGGTCAGAATACGCTAAAGCGTTGCTGAGATGTAGCCTCAAGTAGTTCATTTTGGCGCGTTCTTCGTCAAATTCGTTCGTACGTTATTTGAGAACATTTTGACGAACAATTCCAGAACTTTTTTGATCTGGTTCAGTTTTCATGAACAATAATAGGGTGCAATCGAATTGCCTGGAGCCAAATCAGAGGAAAAAAAGTTTGTTTCTAGCCCTTAAGAATGATTAGCATAACCGCGAGTGCAGCGTTGCACAGGAGGGGGCGCTAGAGGATCGAGACAGAGACTCGCTGTGGTTCATGATCAGACGGTCCTCTATCAGTGTGCCAAATTTCCCACAAGCGGTTCGGTGGGCTGCTAAACACCCACAGAGCAAATAATAATCTGAACGCCAGCAATCACAATAGGATCATAAGCAGCTTCGGTAATAATAATTAATAATTAATACAGTAATAATAGTGTGTGAATGACTTACATGGACAGTATTGGAGCGACGAGGTCCAGCGACGCGATCAGGATCCCCAGCTCAGCCAGAACCGCAGTCAGGAGGAGAGCCCATGTGGGTTCCCCATTAGCCTTCCCGTGCCCGAACACCTGCACACACACACACAACACACACACACTAAACACCTGCACACACACTGAACACAGATACACACACTAAACACCTGCACACACACCTGCACACACACACAACACACACACACTAAACACACCCTGAAGTCTCAGGTGTGTTTAGAGTCTCGGGTGGGTGTTATCTAAGGTGTGTGTGTGTGTGTGTGTGTGTGTGTAGCCTCACCCTCAGGAAGGGAATGATGTTGTCTTTAGCGATGGCCTGCAGGAGTCGAGGAGCGCCGGTCAGGGATTGGAGGCCAGCGCCACACGTGGAGAAGAACGAGCCAATCACAATCACCCACGGCGAGGGCCAGGAGAGCGTACCGACCACCAGATTCCCTTTCACGGAGTCTCCAAACCTGCACACGGCCAGAGGACGACAGCTTTACACACACACTCATCTGTCAGAGGACGACAGCTCTACATCTCTAACGCACACGATGAATAAACAGGATTTTGATGCGAGAGGAAAACTGATGAGGCAGAACAGCCGATCCGGTTACTGTATGATTATGATCAAACACATGAAATCTCCCAGCATCCATGCTGTAACCGATAGGGCCCTATAAAATCCGTTTTATTTTTCCCAAATTCCGTTTGATTTTTTCCCAAATTCCGTTTTTTTTCCCAAATTCAGTTTTATTTTTTCCCAAATTCAGTTTTATTTTTCCCAAATTCAGTTTTATTTTTCCCAAATTCCATTTTATTTTTTCCCAAATTCCGTTTTATTTTTTCCCAAATTCCGTTTTATTTTTCCCAAATTCCGTTTTATTTTTTTCCCAAATTCCGTTTTATTTTTCCCAAATTCCGTTTTATTTTTCCCCAAATTCCGTTTTATTTTCCCAAATTCCGTTTTATTTTTCCCAAATTCCGTTTTATTTTTTTCCCAAATTCCGTTTTATTTTTTCCCAAATTCCGTTTTATTTTTCCCAAATTCCGTTTTATTTTTCCCAAATTCCGTTTTATTTTTTCCCAAATTCCGTTTTATTTTTTCCCAAATTCCGTTTTATTTTTCCCAAATTCCGTTTTATTTTTTCCCAAATTCCGTTTTATTTTCCCAAATTCCGTTTTATTTTCCCAAATTCCGTTTTATTTTTCCCAAATTCCGTTTTATTTTTTCCCAAATACCGTTTTTACCGTTATAATTTTTGGGAATTAGTTTTTTTTTAACCCTTGACTGTTATTTTAGTTGTAAAAATAGTATGCTTTTTAAAGTTAATGATTAAAATGTATTAAAAAAATACAAATAAATTAGGAATGACCTTAAATTTGTTGAGGTAATACAGACATTTACTCAGTAGCCTTTTCAGGACAAATACTGCATGATGCAACATAACACTGCACTCTTCAAGGAACAACAAAATATGGTTATGAGCTTTAAACTGTCCAGTAATATAAATTATATTAGTTTATATAAATTTAAATAAAGTCACACTCTGTCTCTCACGGAGTTCGCTTCGCTTTTGTCCAGTCCGGCGCCTCATAGACAGACGCAGTGTGCACGTCATGTGTGTGTATGTGAGAGAGAGATACAACTGAAAGAATACGCTGCGTGTTTTAAATAGTGTTAAAAACCGAAACGCAGTATGTGTCGGCGATTAGTCAATGTGTGCGAACTGCTTGGCTCGAGAGTTTCTTAACTTTTAGCCGACGAAAGCAGCCGCTTCCCCATGCTTTCATTGTTTTGATTTCGTCATTGGAACTGAAATGACGGGTTGAGGGGTTTGTGTCGCCAAGATTTGATTCCCCCGGTCTGCATTTTCACCAGATGCGTTCATCTCCCACACAAAAACAGAATTTCAAACCAAATATGTAAAAATCCACGAAATTCCGCGTTAATTGGCCAATTCCGCGATTCCGTCCGCGTTTTCGTTATCGCGGAAATCATAAGGCCCTAAACTGTGCTGTGTAACTTTACATGCAGATTCGGCTATGTACACTCCTGTAGGAGATTCATCTCAGAGAGCTCTCCTCTCCTGGCTGAACTGACACGCTGCACCGAAACATCGGCTGATTTGGTGTGTGTATCATGTTTGCCTAGCCCTAATCGGCATTCGCCACGCTGTTGTAAAAGAGCTGGAGGGATGGAGGGAAAATGGAGGAAGGAGACGCACTTGTCCCGCAGAACGACGCCCTCTACGCAGGATCCGAACAGCACAACACAGCTCAGATCTGAGTGCCGGTTCAGGAAACATCGCCAAAACACCAGACACACAACATCACAGCACACATCACTAGATACATTACTGACGGCAATGTGTTTGTAAGGATAATCCATGTGTGTGTGTGTGTGTGTTGTTTTTAAGGATACACACGAGGGATGTGGTGAGGATGGCCAGGATTGTGCCGATGGGAATCGAGCGTTGAGCATCTTTCAGATCTCCAGAACGGTTTGAGCCCGCCATGATTCCTGACACACACACACACACACACACACACAGAGAGGATCTGATGAACATCAGCACAGCCACATGACCACACTGCATCTGGTGTCATGTGACATCACAGTCTCAAAAGCACACAAAACCACATCTGAGAGTTAGCAATTAAATATAACATTTGAATGAATTTAAATTAATAAAATATTAGTTAAGTATAATGAATACACATGATCACAGTATATCCAGTATCTCCGGCACATTTTGCATGTTTGTCAGGAAATCAGAATGTAAACACACCGCAAAAACTTTAAGAGCCGAATTTTGGTGCATTATTATAAACACACCCTTTGATTGACTGATAAAATAAGAGAAATGCAGGAATACCAGTCACAGAGGGAAAGAAGATCCCGACCAACAGCGTGAAGGAGGTGGTGATGTCAGCAAACACGTAAGGATAGTGATTGGACACGGCGGGAGAGTGGGCGGAGCGATGGACACCGCGCTCCAGAACGTCTCCTTTAGTGGAGTACGAGCTCCAGAGGTTCTCTAGACACAACAAAGGGTTGAAGAAAACATTTAAATTAGGGATCCTGGATATGTATCGGCCGACATATGATTATTTTTAATGTTATTGTTATCGGCACGATAAGAAAATTTGGCCGATAAATAATTTATTATTCTCTTCAGCTGAGAGTCTTCAGATGCGCGCTGTTCAACATGTATATAAAAATTTTGATTTATCAAATATAAAGAATATCAGTTGTTAGGCTTTCAAATGTAAAGAATATCATTTTTTTAGGCTTTCAAATAAAAATAATTATCGGTTATCAGCTTTCAAATATAAAGATTATCGGTTATTGGCTTTCAAATATAAAGATTATCGGTTATAAGATTTCAAATATAAAGAATATTAGTTATTGGCTTTAAAATATAAAGAATTATCGATTATCGGCTTTAAAATATAAAGAATTATCGGTTATCGGCTTTCAAATATAAAGATTATCGGCTATCAGCATTCAAATATAAAGATTATCAGTTATCGGTTTTCAAATGTAAAGATTATCGGTTATTGGCTTTCAAATATGAAGAATTATCAATTATCGGCTTTAAAATATAAAGAAATATCGGTTATCAGCTTTCAAATATAAAGATTATCAGTTATCGGCTTTCAAATGTAAAGATTATCGGTTATCAGCATTCAAATATAAAGATTATCGGTTATCAGCATTCAAATATAAAGATTATCGGTTATCAGCTTTCAAATATAAAGATTATCGGTTATCAGCATTCAAATATAAAGATTATCAGTTATCGGCTTTCAAATGTAAAGATTATCAGTTATCGGCTTTCAAATGTAAAGATTATCGGTTATTGGCTTTCAAATATAAAGATTATCTGTTATCGGCTTTTCAAATATAAAGATTATCAGTTATCGGCTTTCAAATGTAAAGATTATCAGTTATCGGCTTTCAAATGTAAAGATTATAGGCTATTGGCTTTCAAATATGAAGAATTATCAATTATCGGCTTTGAAATATAAAGAATTATCGGTTATCAGCTGTCAAATATAAAGATTATCAGTTATCGGCTTTCAAATGTAAAGATTATCGGTTATTGGCTTTTAAATATAAAGAATTATCGATTATCGGCTTTAAACTATAAAGAATTATCGGTTATCACCATTCAAATATAAAGATTATCGGTTATCAGCATTCAAATATAAAGATTATCGGTTATCGCTTTCAAATATAAAGATTATCAGTTATTGGCTTTCAAATATGAAGAATTATCAATTATCGGCTTTAAAATATAAAGAATTATCGGTCATCGGCATTCAAATAAAAAGATTATCGGTTATCGCTTTCAAATATAAAGATTATCGGTTATTGGCTTTCAAATATGAAGAATTATCGATTATCGGCTTTAAACTATCAAGAATTATCGGTTATCAGCATTCAAATATAAAGATTATCAGTTATTGGCTTTAAAATATAAAGAATTATCGATTATCTGCTTTAAAATATAAAGAATTATCGGTTATCGGCTTTCAAATATAAAGATTATCGGTTATCAGCATTCAAATATAAAGATTATCGGTTATCAGCTTTCAAATATAAAGATTATCGGTTATCAGCATTCAAATATAAAGATTATCAGTTATCGGCTTTCAAATGTAAAGATTATCGGTTATTGGCTTTCAAATATGAAGAATTATCAATTATCGGCTTTAAAATATAAAGAAATATCGGTTATCGGCTTTCAAATATAAAGATTATCAGTTATCGGCTTTCAAATGTAAAGATTATCGGTTATCAGCATTCAAATATAAAGATTATCGGTTATCAGCATTCAAATATAAAGATTATCGGTTATCAGCTTTCAAATATAAAGATTATCGGTTATCAGCATTCAAATATAAAGATTATCAGTTATCGGCTTTCAAATGTAAAGATTATCAGTTATCGGCTTTCAAATGTAAAGATTATCGGTTATTGGCTTTCAAATATAAAGATTATCAGTTATCGGCTTTCAAATATAAAGATTATCAGTTATCGGCTTTCAAATGTAAAGATTATCAGTTATCGGCTTTCAAATGTAAAGATTATAGGTTATTGGCTTTCAAATATGAAGAATTATCGGCTTTAAAATATAAAGAATTATCGGTTATCAGCTTTCAAATATAAAGATTATCAGTTATCGGCTTTCAAATGTAAAGATTATCGGTTATTGGCTTTTAAATATAAAGAATTATCGATTATCGGCTTTAAACTATAAAGAATTATCGGTTATCACCATTCAAATATAAAGATTATCGGTTATCAGCATTCAAATATAAAGATTATCGGTTATCGCTTTCAAATATAAAGATTATCAGTTATTGGCTTTCAAATATGAAGAATTATCAATTATCTGCTTTAAAATATAAAGAATTATCGGTCATCGGCATTCAAATAAAAAGATTATTGGTTATCGCTTTCAAATATAAAGATTATCGGTTATTGGCTTTCAAATATGAAGAATTATCGATTATCGGCTTTAAACTATCAAGAATTATCGGTTATCAGCATTCAAATATAAAGATTATCAGTTATTGGCTTTCAAATATAAAGAATTATCAATTATCGGCTTTAAAATATAAAGAATTATCGGTTATCGGCTTTCAAATATAAAGATTATTAGTTATTGGCATTCAAATATAAAGATTATCGGTTATTGGCTTTTAAATATAAAGAATTATCGATTATCACCTTTAAACTATAAAGAATTATCGGTTATCAGCATTCGAAGATAAAGATTATCGGTTATCGGCTTTGAAATGTAACGATTATCGGTTATTGACTTTCAAATATAAAGATTATCGGTTATTGGCTTTCAAATATGAAGAATTATCGATTATCGGCTTTAAACTATAAAGAATTATCCGTTATCAGCATTCAAATATAAAGATTATCGGTTATCGGCTTTGAAATGTAAAGATTATCGGTTATCGGCTTTCAAATATAAAGATTATCGTAAACAAATATTAAATTTAATGAAAACTGGCACTGGTATGGTTGCGTCTTTACCTGCAATCTTGCCGCTGGCGAGTCCCGGGAGTCCGTTGATCTCGGTGACGTTGTTGTGCTGGAAGTACTCGTCGCACACGGCGTTCAGTTCGGAGCTGTTGCAGAAGTGCCGCCACAGGTCAGTGCTCTTCTCCAGCGCAGTGACTGGAGGAGCTTCGGTGCCGTTGAGGCTCTCGCTGAAGTTAGCGGATTCCTGCACTAGCGAATCCATGAGCATTAGCTTCCCGCACTGGCCGTCCTTCAGCTCATGCTGGGAGAGGCTTCTGTTTCCCAGCATACACACACTGCAGGACATCAAGCGGACAGTTAGCAGTATACGGCAATAAACCATGCTCCTCTTTTTTTCATAAATCATTTCTATCAGCGTCAACCTTCATGTCTGTCTGTGGGTATTTAATATTTAACCAATGAAAAGAGCTTGCGATTAATGCCTGTCACTCCATTGGCTCCTCAAACTGTCAGTCAAGTCTCTGCTTGTTTGCAATGCAATGGTAAATAAAGTTAGTTTGAATTAGTAAAGGGTTTTCTTTACTCAAGAATCGGACAAAAAATATTTAATCTTTAAATCTTTAATAACATGAGATTTTGGCCAAATGACAGAAAAATACTCACAAGTTTTTGAAGCTATAAGTTGATGAAAACGTAGTACGATGCACTTACTGCCCTTTTAATGGCAGGAAAATAAGCGAAATGGCAGGTCAAAAACCTTGTAACTGAGCTTGATTTTGGTAAAAACGTTAATAATATAATGACACATGCATGTGACTATTTATGATACTATTTAACTATTTAAAAAATACCTTTTCCTGAAACGAGTAGAGTTTGTGGAGATACAAGGTTTTTGGGAATACACAGTATTCGAATGACATTATTCAAACTAATGCAATAGATGTGCATACAAAAAAGTGTGTGTGTTTATTGGGATGTAAAATATGAGCAGATTAATCAGTCAAGTTGATTTCAGTCGTTTTTAAACAACACATTTTAAGCGACGCCACAAGTTTTCAGTGAAATTTAAAAAAAAAATACATTTCTTTATTTATCTTGATAATGTTTATATAAATTTTATACATTTAATTTCATAATACTACGAATATTGTTGAATGCTGCTTGATACGTTCTTATTATGTATGTCGTTTTGGATTAAAATGACTATAATAATAAGGTTGTTTTTTGTTTGTTTGTTTTTTGTGGAAATTAAGCAAAATAACTGTAATTTAAGTGCAATTTTGTGTAGTAATTAGGGCTGTGCAAAAATTAATTGCGATTAATCGCATCCAAAATAAAAGTCTGTGTTTACATAATATATTTGTGTGTGCTGTATATTATTATTTTGTATATATAAATACACACACATGTATGTATTTATTTAAGAAAATGTGTTATTTGTATATAAAATATTTATATTTATATAATATACAGAATTTAAGCACAAATAATTCTTAAATATATACATGCATGCATAGGTATTTATATATACAAAATAATTATACACAGCACACACAAATATATTATGTAAACTCAGACTTTTATTTTGGATGCGATTAATCGCAATTAATTTTAGCACAGCCCTAGTAGTAATATAAATATTTTAAATAATCTTTAATTTACATCCTAGAGACGTATTGCAGATGAGGAACACTTTACACTTAGGTAAAGTTGGTTTTATATTCTTATTCGCACAATTGGACTTCCGCAACTAAACGTTGTTACTACACAAATCTGGAACCGTCTGCAAAATGCAAAACTGGAAAAATGTTAGAACAAAATATTCAGTAACTTCACTGTTTTGTTGCCAAATTCAGATCACACACCACTGCCGTCCTACTGGTTATATAACAACACTTTGTTTTGAATAAAAGCAACACTGCATGAGCATCAGCAGTAGTGATGTGTGTGTTTCTGATGAGCTCACGGGAAGTAGGGCGGGCTGATGGCGGACACCAGCGCTCCGGTGTAGATGGACACGATGGACACAATGACGCAGGCCAGGAACACCGACGCCAGCTTGTTGACGTACTTCACGCCCACGAACACCAGCAGGGACATCAGCGCCAGGAAGATCGAGCCGTACACACGCATGTTGTTCAACATGGCCGCCGCCTCGCCGTCGGGGCCGTCAGAGACGAAGATGGCGGCGCCGGGAGCAATGTACATCTGCACACGCAGGACAACACTCATCACTCATACAGGATAATAACACATTAACATAACATAAATCATATGGATGGATGGGTCGAACCTTTAGATAGAGAGACAGATAGATAGACAGAGAGAGATAGAGATGGAGTGATAGAGAGATAGAGAGACGGATACCAGCAGGATCTCGACGGCTCCAAGGATGTACATGGACCCGGCGAAGGTGGTGCCGAGATAGAAGCAGGAGCCCACGGCCCCCCCGAACTCAGGCCCCAGCGAGCGGGAGATCATGAAGTACGACCCGCCCGCTGCACCACACACACACACACACACACACACACAGGACAGGAGTGTGTTAGTCACTATGTTAACACTACAACAGCAGGAGTCAGACGCATTCATCAAACCTATAGCGGCACAATCTCTCTCTTATACACACACACACACACACACACATCTATATATAAATACACACACATATCTATATATATATAATCACGTATCAAATCGTGATTATTAAGCATGCAGAATTCATTAGATCAAGTGAATAGAGAGACAACATTCAAATTTTACTTTCAGAAACTTAACAATTGCTAACCTCATAAATATTATATATATATATTTACTATTTAAATGTAGTATTTATTTGTAACACACACATACACAGTGTTATAAATAAATTATTTATTTATATAAATAAATATATATATATAATATAAAATTATATATAGTATATATAACACATACACACGAATAAACAATATATATCGTCGCTGTCGGGCGGAAACCTCGTATGTCCAAATTTGGTCAATTTCATATTTTTTCACAAATCGATGTTATTGGTCAGTCTCCACGTGGGTCTGTTATTTTTACAAATTTTTACCCAATCGAAAGTGTTGAAAATAGCTTGTGAGCAAACCTCTTAACTCCATTGGACACTTCAACTGTGTGTCAAACCTCGTAACTCCACCCCTTCTTCACTTGGCGCCGCTGCACTGCCTGGGAGCTTTGCGGCATTTTTTCTCCTCAAGATTGGAAGTCGCTGAGCAACACGTCCTCTGAGGTAAATGTCCTTATTCATGATTTAGTTATATCAATTATATAATAACAGTTTATATATTATATAACAGTTTTATCTCGATCGAAGTAATGGTAGTGCAAGTGTAATGTAGTCTAATTATGTTGATTTCTGAGGATGCTAGATTTTTCTTTCTGCTATGTCTTTGCATTAGACGGTAAGTTAGCTAAGTTAACTTATCATGTTGATTGAAATCTTCCATGGTATTGTTTCTGACGAGGAAATTTAATTTAAACCGCAAAAATTGCCTGTCGTTGACTTAGTTAGCCGCTATGTCACGTTATTGGTTTTGTCATCATGTTAGCTGCTAGGTGAGATAGGCAGCTGTGATTTTCGTGGGGCTTAAATAAAAATCTCTCGACCCCTGCTAACGCTAGTTCTGGCACTCATTTGAGGAACAACATAATAATTTAATGTGCTATGTCAGGATTGTAGCTTACAATGTCAAGGCATTCCGTCATGTTCATCACTTTAAGCAAGCTAGCTGGCCTCTTGCCTTGTTATCATACGTAAACATGCCGTATAACTTAGTGAAACGATCATTTGACCTTTATTTTATTTTTTGCAGCAACCATGTCTGTGTCCTTAAAGGAGCTCTGTCAGATGGTCAATGTGCCATATGATCAGGCAATGGCCCTAATATGACAGTGAGAGCTCTGATGGAGATAGTGTAACGTTAGAGAGAGAGGAAGCAACAGTGGTGGAGGATACAGTGGTGCATGCTGGTAGAGTGAATTTCTGAGAGATAATCATGATTTCACATGCCAAAATGAATGAGTTTTAATGCAGATGTATTTCACAACAATATAAATAAAAACAATCACACTGTACGATGTGTTTGAAAAGATTTATCTGGTGGTCTGGAGGAAGAGGAGGCCTCACTCCTGGCTCCAGAGCAGGTGCAGTTTGACACGGGTAGGTTTGATGCTTTTCTACATTTTGCTTTTCTGCTTTCTGCTTTTCTACATGGGTTTCACAACCATAGAGGTAACACTTTACAATAAGGTTCATTAGTTAACATTAGTTAATGTATTAACTACCATGAACTAACCATGAGCAACACATTTGTTACTGTATTTGTTCATCTTTGTTAACGTTAGTTAATAAAAATACAGCTGTTCATTGTGTGTTCATGTTAGTTCACGGTGCATTAACTAATGTTAACAAGATTTAAATAAAATATTAGTAAATGTTGAAATTAACATTAACAAAGATCAATAAATGCTGTATATGTGCAGTTCATATTAACTAATGTAGTTAACTAATGTTAACTAACTGACCTTATTGTAAAGTGTTACCACAATGTAAAATAAATAAAAATGACACTAATTGTACAATGTGTTTGAAAAGATTTCTCTGGTGGTCTGGAGGAAGAGGAGGCCTCACTGCTGGCTCCAGAGCAGGTGCAGTTTGACACGGGTAGGTTTGATCCTTTTCTACATTTTCTCATTAAATTGGATACGGTCCTTCAACTATAGCCCTTACTGTTGACAGTTTATAAAGATGTAACTCATTCATGCATGTTTGGTTTGTGTGTGTATTTTGAAGTTTTCCATGGTGCAGGCGATGAGGACTCGGATGCACAGCATTCATGCTCAGATGCTGAGGAAGACGCACCTCCAAGGAAAAGACTGAGAGCTTACAGATCTTACACCGTGTCCTAACTACACGCGATGTGACGCGACGCCGCGTCACGTAATAAAAGGTATCTTTTCCATGTTAATCAGAGTTTTTGTCCTAACCAGACGCGACGGCGACACGCAAAGTTTCTAATTTAGAAACGGTTCCTATTTCTGCGACGTCGTGGCTGACAGAATGAAGAAATTACACTGGTTATGAGTACACATTATTTATTTTTAGTTAAAAATTGGTCACTGTGCCACAAGATAACGGATAATTTACCTCAGATTTTGAAAACAGATAATATAGCGTTCAAAATGACTTCTATGCAAACATATACAACTGTACTTCATCACAAAATTAGTCAATGAGTATGTTTTGTTAATGTTTTGATTTTTAATAATGTTATTTCTTGATTTGATTATGTAACTTCTTACCCATTTCCAATGCGAGTGCGGGCCAGCAGTGTGCTTTCACGCACACGCTGTTCTGCGTGGCTGTGATTTTTGAGTGTGGCATCTCACAGTCGCGTCCCGTCTATTGTGGACAGACACACTTGCTGTCGCTGGAATTTTATCGCGTCGCGTGTAGTTAGGACACGGTGTTACAGTGATTATGTTGTTGTGTTATATTTTGTGCTATTAGGTACAACAACAATGGAACGATGGACTTCAAAATCAACCACTCTGATTACTGGCATTCACATCCAAGTCACCAACTCCGAAACTCCACCTCAGACAGCCACACAGTCACCCCCACTCTATTCAGGCCGCCTGAAGATCACAGTGCTGAAATTCAAGACCTGAAGGAAGTCATCCCAAAGGACTTTCACAGCTTTTACGACAATTTACTTCACTAGCTTAATATAGGATGCAGTATTAAAGGAGAACTGGCAAAATGATCCTGGGGTGTAATAACACATTGGTATCGAGTTTTATCTCTAAAAACTGTTTAGCTTATAAAGCTAGTATATGTTGGCATATAATAAGTAAAAAGAAATCAATGCTAACAATGCTCAAAATAGCCCCACACTAACACGGTAGTATAATGAGGGTCTCTACATACAAACCGAAGCACTGAGAACTTTGTAAGTGTACAGACAGTTTAATAATAATATACTTTATAAAGACAGTAGCATCCCGGCGCCATCTTTGGAAAACAGTCTCGACCAATCGAACCACTAACGCCACACTAAGTGAGCTGAACTAAGTTCCAAGTCACAGTTTAGCTCGTAGCACAGCGTTCGTGGTTCGATTGGTCGAGACCGTTTTCCAAAGATGGCTCCGGGATGGTACTGTCTTTATAAAGTATTATTATTAAACTGTCTGTACACTTATAAAGTTCTCAGTGCTTCAGTTTGTATGTAGGGACCCTCATTAAGCTACCGTGTTAGTGTGGGGCTATCTTGAGCATTGTTAGTGGTATTAACTAGTGATTTCTTTTTACTTATTATATGCCAACATAACATTATAAGCTAAACAGTTTTTAGAGATAAAACTCTTTACACTCGATTATCATGAAAACAAATCCCAGAGAAAAGTCGACTCAGTACCAATGTGTTATTACACCCCAGGTTCATTTTACGCAGGAGTTCTCCTTTAATACAGTCAATATAATGGCAATGTAACCACACACAGGGTCTCACAGATACATGCACACAAACAAGGGCTAACCATACTCACAAACACAAATACACAAGCCTTAACTGTGATTTTATTATATTATAAATATTATTTTATATTAATATTATATTTATTTTATTGTTAAACTATGATATTAGTTATTGATGTATTTTAAATGTCTACTTTTTACTAGGCTTATTATAAATGTGCATTGAAGTTTTTAAATGTATAATATAATACCTGAATTGAATGTTTTGGATACCACCATTAAATTATTGTTTTTATTATTATTATACTGACTCAAAGTTTCCTCTCGTGGCACTGTGCATGTAAAATAGCCCAACTATTGTTTTTATGGAAGAAAAAACTGAAAAAAACGTCTACTGGCGTCGAGTAAGCCTATCTTTGGATAACTCTGTCTCTGTCTGTTTTTTAGGTAATAACGAGTGAAAATAGTTAGGTTAGATACATTTGAGTAGGCCTGTTTTGTTAAAAATCGAAAGCTGTAATGCTTAGATGCAGAAGGAAGCCCGTAAGCCACAAAGGTAAGTTTGTGTGCAGATTAGGCTCATTTCCGCCTATTAGACAGCCTAGTCAGCTCGTTTTTTGTGTGTATTGCATCACTTATAGATCATAACCTTTTAAAATAGAGTTTATGAAGATATATGTAACCACAACCATAAGCTTAGATTAGCTCTTAAAACCTTGTCTCGTCAAAAGGCTCAACGCGACCGCGGACTTGCATGAACACTGCTGGCAGCAGCAAGTCTGCGTTGTTCCACAGCGAGTCTCGTATCTCCCTGCTCCCAAGTCATAAACCTCGGATCTCCGATTAAACATGATTTTGGGGAAATGTTGTGTTAATGTTGGTACACAACTGTATATAACAGCAATATAAGGTATAATACCAACTTTAACGATACAATGTTTAATAACTCAAAAAATACGCAGTTTTGTTTATTTCCTGAAAAATGATGGTTTTGGAGATACGAGGATTCCGCCCGACAGCGACGATATTTATTAAATATATAATTTATTTCGATGTTTCTTATAAATAAAGTAATTAAATGAATGAATTAACGCTGTATTTATATATTATAGAGAGATTTATGATACATATATTAAAATAAATGAATATACGAAGAGTTCAGATGCAAAAGCCTCTAAATGCCATTTGAAATTTTCTTCTTTAATGATGATTTTTATCAAGCTTGTATATTTAAGTTCAGTAGTTTCACTTAAATTGCAATGATAATTGTTATTTAAGTGAAATTACTGAACATAAATATATAAGTTTGATAAAAATCATCATTAAAGAAGAAAATTTCAAATGGCATTTAGAGGCTTTTGCATCTGAACTCTTCATATATAAAGTATAAATGTCTATAGCTTGTTTGTAAATAAAGTAAATGTAAAAAATTCAGCAGATATTCTTATATGGGCTGGAATAAAGTTGTCTTGTAAGAAATGATTGTGGATCACAGTACGTCTCACTGTGGCTCCAACTAATACCCAGAATGCCTCTGAATGTGAGTGTGTGTGTGTGTGTGTGTTCAGTGAGGAGGTTTACCTGGAACGACTCCGTTAGTGGCGATGGCACTCATAGATATCGCCGTCAGCAGCGTCTGGAGGGACAACACAACACAACAAGGCGGTTCTTTATGAAAGAATTATTTCAATCTATTATGTATATCATTATAATGTGGAGCCCTGGTTACTGGTAATCCAGATTTGTGTGTGTGTGAGACTCACACAGCAGCAGCAGATGAAGACGATACACAGCGCCTGAAGAACCCCTGCCGTCCCGACGACCCACGTGAGCCTGAGGAAGAGGATCACGCCGAAGATGTTCTGCAGGCACGGCAGGTACACACCCATGAAGGTGCCCATCTGAGGAGACTGGAGGAATCATGGGAGATTCAGTGTGTGTGTGTGTGTGGGGTTGAACGACTTTAGATTTTTTGAAGTCGACTGTTATGACATCAAAGTCGACGTCGACTAGTCGCTGACGTCATTCATAAAAACACAGATGTGATATATTTGCAACATGCCACAATTTGCAATTAATGAACAGAAAGTGACGCTGACAGCTCGTAATGGGGCCGTTTACACCTGGACACTAGGGCTGGGTAATAAATATCGATTTCTCGATATTAATCGATTCTCATTTTTACGAACCGATATCGATTCTTAAATCTCAAGAATCGATTAGTCATCCTGTTTCATTTGAATGAATGGATCATTGTATCGCGGCTGTTCACATCCAAAAAATCGCAGTAATCTTTGTCCTTTGTTTCTATTGATATGAAACAAAGTCTCAATTTTCAAATTACGTCCATTTTCTTTAGAAACTCAAAAACATAAATAGTGTTTTGTCGCTGTGGCGTGAGATCGCTCTGGAGAAGCAGCAGCGCTGATCTCTCTTCCGGCTTAATAATACCAGTCACAGCGCCAAATAAACATGAATGAGCATCTGAAAGTGTGTTAAAGATAGAGTACAACTTATCCAAATCCGGATCATGTCACATTGATTCACTCAATCAGCGTTTCAACCGTGGAAAGACGTCAGTTAAACAGCTTGTAATCAATGTATCGTCATATTAACCTCAGAAAACCCACATAAACTCGTTAGTCAGCTAGAAAAAAATAACTCTAGAGAGGAACATTTTGCTGAATATATACACCATATTATGCATTATAATCTTAATGTTCTTCAATATTTAATGCATATTTGAATAAATCTAAAGTTTTTCTGACAGCCACCATTTAAATGTTTATATTTCATATAATCTTCTTATTATAAAAATAAATAAAAGTGTAATTTAAGTGTTTGTGTAGCTACAAAACAGTTCATTATTACCTTCATATTAGGCTAATGAAGCCCAACTAGACTCCCATAGTTTACAGCATTTAAGAGATTTGATTCCCTTGAGAAAAATTGCCATTTATTGGAACTGATGTCCAAAATAATCGATATTTGAATCGAAATCGAATCGAATTGCAAGATTGTGAATCGAAATCGAATCGAATTGTGAAATTTGTCTCAATACCCAGCCCTACTGGACACTGTGTGTTTTTACTGATCTGATTTATCAAAACGATTTACACCTGGTCACATAAATATGTTTTCGCAAAATGGATATAAATCCGATTTTCAAACAACGCGCTATATGCAGATTTAACGAAGTTCACGTCACTGAAAGCAACAGTAATGAGCTGCATTTTATTGATCATCAGCTAATTTCACAATCAAAGAGACAGCACTGGTAAGATCATTTTGTTTCTTTACTTTTAACGAAGATGATTGTGTGTGTTCAACGTAGTTTGCACGTTGGCTTTATGAATAGATGCTCAGCTGCGTGTTATAATGAATATAATAGCACAGGCTGCTCTCACACGTTTTATTTCAGCATTTTTAGGAGAAGTCCTATTTACATACGTGGTTTCAACAACCAGATGCATGTACGTGTCCAGTTTCGTCTTTAAAGCGGCCCAGACCTCCTCATGAAATGGTTTGCGATCGGATTTAAATCTGTCTCCAATGCGTTTCGGAGGGCATTTAGCTTTTCACGATCGGATCACAGAAACACGTGAAGTGGCCAGATGTAGCTAAACAGCCCGCTGTTTACATCATCATTTAGGATGAAAAGAAGAAAAAAAGCTATAAATTCACATCTGCACGTTAGTGATGGATCTAAGTAATACAAAATAATATTCCAATTGAATTAGAGATGCATTAATATGTAATAAATATATGAAAAAAATAGGGTGTTTGAATGATTTTAACCCTCAGGTGCTCTTCGTTTCGGAGTCACACTTGTTATCTTCCCGGTCAAAAGTGACCGGACACCTAAAAATGAAACTTTCTCCATCCCAGTAAAACCAATGCAATTTATTTTTGTTCTATAATATTTATTCTTTTTAATTTAGTATTTTGAGACAATTTAAATGAATTTATTAATATTTATGCAATATTTATGGTTTATTTTTGCTATAGAAAAATATATATTGTTTTCTATATATATATTATTTTCTTCAAAAAAATATTAATGCAGTATTTTAGTTTAATATAGAGTCTAGGCCTTCAGAAAAAAAATATTTTTTGAAGAAAATTAGCACCATCTGGTTCCAGTATAGAGAAAAAGCGTAGAATCATGGTGTAACCACTAGATGGCATGTACAGCTCTCTATGGAGAGGCATGTGAATTCCCCAGATGTTTATGAACACATTTTTGTTGTTGTTGTTGGTGGATTTGTACATATAGTTGAAACAATCTCAAAAACTATTTCTTATTAAAAAAAATGACAAAAAACAAATATTCACAATTTTTTTTCTTTTTTTTTTTTTTACAATTTCCCATTCATTTCCTATGGGGGTCATTTTTGACCAAAGACCACAAGTGTGACTTTTTTTTTAAGACCACTTAGCATGCTCAGATCATGACCTCAATTTTTTTGTGTGTTCACATACATAATGCCATAAAAGTCACCAAGTTTCGGAACATCGCAATGAAGCTGTGATTTTTAAAAATTCAAAACATACTTTTTGTAATCAAAATTTATTGGTGTGTATAAAAGTGTGTTTTTATGTGCGTGTGTGTTGGTGGGTGTGTCTGTTTTGCACTCTAGATGTTGTAGAGTGTCACCCCTTTCCTGCGGTGTACTTTTTTTTTTAGAATTGTGGCCGATTTGTAGATTGTACATATGGGTCGGTCATTTTTAACAGAAGAGCAAAAGTGTGACTCATTTTTTTACGACCACTTAAATTGCTCGAATCATGACCTACATTTTTTTGTGTGTTCACATACCCAATGCCATAAAAGTCATCAAGTTTCGTAATTTTCTGAAGAAGCTGTGATTTTTAAATATTCAAAACAGATTTCTTTAATCACAATTTATTGGTGTTTTTGTGTATAAAAGTGTGTGTGTATGTGTGTGCGTAGGGGTGGGTATGTCTGTTTTGCACTCTTGATATTTTAGAGTGTCACCCCTTCAATGCTGAGCACTTTTTTTCTGCATCGTGGCCGATTTGTAGATTGTACACACAAAAATTCTCAAAGTTTTTGTGTTTTTGTCAATTTCCCATTCATTTCCTATGGGTCGGTCATTTTTGACCGAAGAGCACAAGTGTGACTATTTTTTTTACGACCACTTAGCATGCTCGGATCACGACCTCAATTTTTTTGTGTGTTCACATACCCAATGCTATAAAAATCGCCAAATTTCGTAACATTCCGAAGAAGCTGCGATTTTTAAAAATTCAAAACAGAAAATTTTTTGGTCAGAAATGACCGAAGAGCACCTGAGGGTTAAAAGAGACTGCTCTCATTTCCCGGTAAAACAGTGAGCGTGCGTCATGCTTTTACTTTCGTTTTCAACAATATAGTGGTGCTATACGTTAGTAAAGTATTCCCATACGCTTTATGTGCCAATGCTGCTTTCTTGCTGCAATGACCCTCTGGGCTCTTCATCTGTCGCGGCCATATACTATTAAAATTAGCACAATCATACAGTGTCACATGATCAACGCGACTAGTCGACGTCAAGCTTAAAGCGTCACGGATAGCCGAATAGTCGGTTCAATCCCTAGTACACACCCATGAAGGTGCCCATCTGAGGAGACTGGAGGAATCATGGGAGATTCAGTGTGTGTGTGAGCGTCACCTTGCGGGGCTTGCGCTTCTCTCCGATGCTCTCGGCCTCCTCATGCTCTCGGGCGCCTTGTGTGAGGTTCGTGTAGTTCGCCAGACGACTGAGCAGAGACGACACCTTGGGGCGAGTGTCCATCTCCTCCTGCAGAGAGAGAGAGAGAGAGAGAGACATTGATCAGACAGGTTGAAAGAGTTTAAACTGAGACTGAAACAGATTCAGAAAGCAAACCTCAAACAGAGCCAGATTCCTGTCGTAGAAATCATCGTCATCAGCGGCGTGAGAGTTGTTGATGTAAACGCTGGATGGCTTCACACCGTCACCTGACACACACACACACACAGAGCAGTTTAAGGGTTAATATGAGTGATTGGGAACCGTGTGTGTTCATTCAATAATTAGACGGATCAAAACTTTCCATAAAGTCCATGAAACTGGACGTGTTTTCCTTATAATGAGTGTAGGATCACATGACATGTGTCGCCATCAGCAAAGCGTCAGCACACACACTCTCACTTCCCCAACACACACACACACTCTGCCATTGTTTCACTGCATTCTTCACTGAGGTGTGTGTGTGTCCACATGTGAAGCTTTAAAGAAACATAATGAATAATCATGTGTGTTTGAGCTGCAACACCTGCACATTCATCACTGCGGCTTAACACACACACACACACACACACACACACATGCAAAGCTTCTAGGAGTCACACCCTCAAAACATAACTAGGACACAAAATACGCTAATCTTACAAGATCATAAGTGGCCGTTTGGCATTAATCAAAGAGTTTATCACTACAGATTCACTTTTATTATTAATATTATTAGTTATGGAATCATTATGTTGTTGTTCTGAAGTTTTAATATAATCCAGTGCTGTTATTGTTCACTGTAAAACCATTCAAAAGAGTTGCTGTCAAAACAGAGCTGAAATTAAATATTAATATTAGATACTAAAAGAAGTACTCAAACTCAATTTTAATAAAAAAATGTTTTTAAAAATGTCGCTACTATAAATATTAATACTACTGTAGTAAATAAATAATACAAAATATCACTGATTAAAGTATATTTTTGTGCATTTGTGATATAAAAACTCCAAAGGTGCTTCAATAACTGCGATAATCAGAGTTATTTACTTTTATCATCGCTTTATTAATATTTTAAATTAAACTTTTATTTGAACATTTTTAGTTTTCATGTTAACTTTAATAAATGTTCAGTCATTTTGCGGTGCTTTTGTCGTTTTATTCAGGATTTTTTCTATTTGGGTTTCATTTATTAAATGAAATCCTTGTATAATATTGTTAATTATTATTTTTTTTATTTTTAGCTCACACACACACACACACACACTCACTGTAGCTGAGCTGATCAGCCTGCTCGGGTGTGTCGGAGGTCGTGACCCCTGCGGACGCCTCGCTGCGACTGACGCTCTCCCGCGAGCCGAAGCGGACCCTGGCGTGTGTGTGTGCGTCCGGGGGCGTGTCCGGCAGGTCCTCGGCTCTGATTGGTGTGACGGTGAAGCGCACGGACGAGGCCATGGCTTCCGGCGCCGGCGGGTCCGACAGGACGGCGGCTCCGCGTCACACAGCTCACACACACACACGCATCGTCATGGAGACACTGTGAGTGTGTGTACTGTGTGTGTGATCTCGGCGGAGACTAATGATTAATGAGGTTTGAGTGCTTGATTGTAACAGCAGTGATGTGTGGTGTGTGTGTGTGTGTGTGTGTGTGTGTAAAAGAGGAATGTGTCCCAGTAGGGCTTGTTTTCGCTCAGATCAGCGTTTGAATCTGATTTATGGCTCGTCAGCGAAGAGTTTGGAGGAACGGTTACACAATATAGCTGCTGATCGGACCAGTGTATGAAACATTAACATTCCTCTACTGTAAGACAACAGATCTGAGTGTGTGTGTGTGTGTGTGTGAATGAATGAATGTGAAGGAGAGAGCGGATAATTTAGAGTGTGTGTGTGTGTGTGTGAGAGAGAGAGAGAGAGAGAGAGAGAAAAGGGAAAGACAAGCAGAACAAAACAGATTCATATTAAAACTGAATTGTTAGATTGTATTGAAATATGTAAGTATTTAAAGGGGCACTTGGCAACTATTTATTTCAACTTAAACGCGGGCGCTTCGGTCTGCGCATTATTTACACAGAGATTTTGGAAATTTTACTTTTCACTTAACATATTTATATATATTTAGATCGTCTTCCATTGCGATTTCCCGTTTATCTAAATATGTTTAGATCTTCACAGTGAAAGGTAACACTTCTGAAATCTGTGAGTAAACAATTAGGGCTGGCTATTGACACAAATTTCACAATTCGATTCGATTTCAATTCACAAACTTGCAATTCGATTCGATTCCGATTCGATTCAATATCGATTATTTTGGATATCAGTTCCAATAAATGGCAAATTTTCTCAAGGAAATCAAATCTCTTAACTAATGCTGTAAACTATGGGAGTCTAGTTGGGCTTCATTAGCCTAATAATGATTTTGTAGCTATACAAACACTTAAATTACACTTTTTTATTTTTTATAATAAGAAGATTATATGAAATATAAACATTTAAATGGTGGCTGTCATAAAAAACTTGCCAGATTTATTCAAATATGCATTAAATATTGAAGAACATTAAGATTATAATGCATATGTAATATGATGTATATATTCAGCAAAATGCTCCTCTCTAGAGTTATCTAGAGCGATTTTTTGGATGTGCGCAGCCGCGATACAATGTTTTCATTCAAATGAAACAGGATGACTAATCGATTCTTGAGATTTAAGAATCGATATCGGTTCGTAAAAATGAGAATCGATTAATATCGAGAAATCGATATTTATTACCCAGCCCTATAAACAATGAGTGACGTACACGCGCGGACCGAAGCGCCCGCGCCCTCAGATCAGTTGGACGTGGCTGAGGTAAAAACGATATTTATCCTGTTCGTTTTCTCACACAAACGTCTTAGGCCATCAATGTGTACTTACATTTACGAGTCATTAAATCATGTTTAATTTGGACTTCTCTGTGGATGCTCTTTGAGGTGGTGACCATAGACCTGCATTATATGACTGACACATTGAATGTCTGTCTGAAAATATGAATGACAGTATGACTGAAACTACTGTGGAAACAAAGACACCTACATTTTGGATGCTCTTGAGGTAAGCTAAAACATCAAAAATTAATTTCAAAGTGAACCATCCCTTTACTAAAACCGATTAAAATCCATTTGAATGGTTTAATATCCTGTTCTGGAGAGAATGGAGTCTATATAGGGAGCTCACTGGGTTCGGCTAGTAAGGTCCAGAGTGCTGTCTATATAGGGAACTCACTGGGTTCGGCTAGTATATGGTCCAGAGTGCTGTCTATATAGTGAGCACACTGTTCACCTAGGATAAGGTCCAGAGTGCTGTCTATATAGTGAGCACACTGAGTTCGGTTAGTATAACTAAGCTCCAGAGTGCTGTCTATTTAGTGAGCTCACTGGGTTTTGCGACACAATCTTGCCGTTGGTTCCTGCGACAAACCTGCACCTGAGCCCCTCCATTAAGCCAATTATTCACACACACCTGACAGCGGCTCACATTAGACAGACACCCTTATAAATATCATTAAACAACTCTTTATATGACTAATAAAACCAGTCACCTCAGAACAGCCGCGCGCAAGACGCTTTCATGATGTTTAAACGCAAACCCGCGCTAACAGTCGCATTATTATTATTATTGACTTCTGATAAACACGAAGGATTAATTTCACTAATTTACCTCAGGACTGCGGTCACGAGTCCACCGAAGCCGATGTTCGGGTAAAATCCGGTGTTTATCGCCCCGGTTTCAGGAGGATCATCAAATCAGCACGTTTGACTGAACGACTGGCGTAGGCGCGCTAACGAGAGCACCGGTCCTGCGTCATGACGTATATGCGTAGGATATGCTGCAGGGAAATGTAGTTCTCCACGTACTATTTACATCACGAAGAAAACTACAATTAGACTATTTTTAAATCCCCAAACTAGAAATTGATTACAAATAAAGCTGACGCACTATTACACAAATTTCGCATTTTATTTGATTTCACACGAGGATTCGTTGAGTACACACAGCAAAAAAGTATGCCTTTAGAAAACAAACATAACATTGATCAATAAAAAATTATATATAGTGTAAAAGTTCATGGTTCCGATCACAGCACGGGTCGCGGTTGTTGCGTCAGCAGAAGCCCGAAGCGCTTCTTGATTGTCACGCGGTGTCGGGAGAACTTGTCGTCCGGTGAGAAGCGGGCCGGGTGCGCGGAGCTGGTGGGCTGGCCACTCGGGTCCTGTTTCTGCACAGAAGTAACATAATATGTTCAAAATATGCCTCAAGTTTCCATACATCTGACATATATTACGTATACGTTTTATGGACAAATATGCCGCCATTACAGCAACATTAAAGCCGTCTCACCTTCAGAGTGTAAACCCTGTCGCCTTTCTCGTTCAGATAAAACTGCAGGAACATGATGAGTTCTCGACAGTCGCACAGCGAGTTACAAAGTCTGTCGGTTTATTGCGAGAATATCCGAGCAGAGACCAGATTTATAATCGGCAGAGCTGCTCAAAACACCACGTGTGCGACTGATGCCGGAACAAACCGGATATGTGCGGGACGAGCTACGGCGCAAAGCATGATGGGAAATCGTGTTTTTAAAAGGTCTTCTCTCCGGTGTAAAGAAAACCTCCCGCCTGCTGTAGCCTGTAGAATATAATGGCAGACATAACAAAAATAATTATTAATGTAAATAAATATAACTTAATCGTGTTATAGTTAATAACATGTGATGTTATAGTTTGGACATGCTGATTTGTGTTTGTTTTTAAAAGTGTGCAGTTTAAATCTGCATTTCAGCAGTGAGCAACTGTTCAGATTAACCAGCATATAAAGTCCTTGAATACTGTCTTCGGGATAATAAGTTCCCATGAGGCTACTTCGGTGTCAGGTAAAGTTGGTCAATTCTTGATGTAATTTATGCCTTAATTTTTGTGTTGTTGTAGGTGCTCTTCTTTCATTTCTGACCGAAAAAATTTCCGTTTTGAATTTGTAAAAATCACAGCTTATGAAACTTATGTATGTGAACACACAAAAAAAACGAGGTCATGAGCTGAGCATGCTAAGTGGTCTTAAAAAAATAGTCACACTTGTGGTCTTTGGTCAAAAATGACCCCCGAAATGAATGGGGAATTGACAAAAACACAAAAATTCACAAATTTTTATTTATTTATTTTACATTTTTTTAATAAAAAATCGTTTTTGAGATTGTTTCAACTATATATTAAAAATCCACCAAAAAAAATGTGTTCAAACAAATGGGGACTTCACATGCTTCTCCATAGAGAGCTGTACATGCCATCTGGTTACACCATGATTCTACGCTTTTTCTCTATACTGGAACCTACGGAGGCGTATTGCATTCACTTGAAGAAAAAAAAATCCACTCTGTTTTTCTGAATTAATGAGTTAATTTTTCATGAGAAAAATTTTTTTTGCTCTGTTTTTCTGAATTAATGAGTTAATTTTTCATGAGAAAAAAAAATTTTTTGCTCTGTTTTTTTGAATTAACGAGTTAATTTTTCATGAGAAAAAAATGTTTTCCTCTGTTTTTCTGAATTAATGAGTTAATTTTTCATGAGAAAAAAAAAGTTTTTGCTCTGTTTTTCTGAATTAATGAGTTAATTTTTCATGAAAAAATTTATTTTTGCTGTTTTTCTGAATTAACTCATTAATTCAGAAAAACAGAGCAAAAAAAAAAAATCCATTAAAAATTAACTCATTAATTCAGAAAAACAGAGCAAAAAAAAAAATCCATTAAAAATTAACTCATTAATTCAGAAAAACAGAGCAAAAAATTTTTTTCTCATGAAAAATTAACTCATTAATTCAGAAAAACAGAGCAATTTTTTTTCTCATGAAAAATTAACTCATTAATTCAGAAAAACAGAGCAATTTTTTTTCTCATGAAAAATTAACTCGTTAATTCAGAAAATCAGAGTAGATTTTTTTTTCTTCAAGTGAATGCAATACGCCTCCGTAGTAACCAGATGGTGCTAATTTTCTTCAAAAAAAAAAAAAATTTCTGAAGGCTTAGACTCTATATTAAACTAAAATACTGCATTAATAATTTTTTGAACAAAATAATATATATATAAATATATATATATATATCCATGGCAAAAATAGACCATAAATAATGCATAAATATTAATAAATTCAATCAAATTGTCTCAAAATACTAAATTACAAAGAATATAGAACAAAAATAAATTGCATTGGTTTTACTGGGATGGAGGAAATTTAATTTTTAGGTGTCCGGTCACTTTTGACCAGGAAGATAACAAGTGTGACTCCGAAATGAAGAGCACCTGAGGGTTAATGGCCTACACTTGCAATATTACAACATTAACTGATGTAAAATTAGCTGAGACCCTTTTCTAATTATGTATCCCGTGTGTAGATGGAGAAGCTTCAACCACCAATCGTGCATCGAGAGATGCATCTAGAGCACGCACTTCCACTTAACGAGGATAACGAGCTGCTTGATTACGGAGAAATCACATGTGTAAACGCACAGGACAGGATTCAGACTGAAACACAATGTTCTGGTGCTGAAAACACGTTTCTTGAGCCAGAAGCACTTGCTTCGATGCAATCAGCGCAAGCATTCGTGTGTTCGCTTCATCCGCAGCTTCAGTGTGAGGAGTACGGCCCAAACGCCGTCAGCGGAGGTCCTGCCGGTGCCATAACCCCAGATATAGACATCAGACCATTCTCAGACATGAACCCTGTCCACACTCCACATGCTAACCCTCCGTGGCCCGCTCTGGCTCCTCATGCTAACCCTGTTGCTGCAGTGCCTCATCGGAATCAGTTCTGGCCCACTTACACGCCTCCACAGCACTTTAACCCTGCGTTTAACCTTAACCCTGCATTAAACCTTAACCATGAGTTTGACCTTAACCTTGAGTTTAACCTTGAATCTGTGTTTAACCTTGACCCTGCGTTTAACCTTAACCCTGGGTTTAACTGTAACCCTGGGTTTAACCTTAACCCTGCGTTTCACCTTAACCCTGGGTTTAACTGTAACCCTGGGTTTAACTTTAACCCTGGGTTTAACCTTAAACCTGCATTTAACTTTAACCCTGGGTTTAACTGTAACCCTGGGTTTAACCTTAACCCTGCGTTTAACCTTAACCCTGGGTTTAACTGTAACCCTGGGTTTAACCTTAACCCTGGGTTTAACTGTAACCCTGGGTTTAATCTTAACCCTGCGTTTAACCTTAACCCTGGATTTAACTGTAACCCTGAGTTTAACCTAAACCCTGCGTTTAACATTAACCCCGCATTTAACCCATTAGTGGCCTGTGGGGATTCTGCCCTCTCCTGTCTGGTGCTTCGACCGCATATGAGTGTTTGTCCCACACCGTATCCACATCTAAACACCACGGGTTTAGTCTCCAACACACACTCACACTCACACACACAATCGTTCCCTTTAAACATGCTCGACGCGTACGAACTGTGGCAGAGACTGTGTAAGACAGCGGAGGACTACAGCTCCAGCAGTCCAGATACTGAGGCTCTCGCCTGCTTCTTCATGTGAGAACACATACACACACTCTCACAATGACACAATGAATTCAATGACAGCTATAATTATTTATATAATTAAACATGTATCATGTATAACATTTTAACATGTTATTAAAACTGGAACTCATTGTGATATTATGATGCTTATGTCATATCAATAATAAAGGCCCGTTCACACCAAGAATGATAAACTATAACCATAAAGTTTGGAAAATTACAAGTAAAATTCAATTGAATATTTATTTTATTTAAATCATTTGTATTTCTTCATTGTTATGCATTAGTATTATATTTATAGCAAATGTATTCATTTTCGTTTTCATTTGTTTAATTTTTATCATTATAATCAATAGTTTTTCATTCTATTAACTAACTTTATTTTGGGATTTAATAAAATATGTAGGCCTATATTTGTTCACTATTAATTCATTATTTGTCATTAATTCGCCACATTGACAGATAATCGATTTTGAATCTTTTTCAGAGATTTTTTCGCAGCAACACTGAAAGCTGCGGAGCCCCTCTAGTCCCACTTTGGTAAAAAAAATTAATTATAACTATCTTGTGGCCTCAAGATAGTAACTCGTGGCCACAAGATAGTAACTCGTGGCCACAAGATAGTAACTCGTGGCCACAAGATAGTAACTCCTCGCCTCAAGATAGTAACTCGTGGCCTCAAGATAGTAACTCGTGGCCACAAGATAGTAACTCCTCGCCTCAAGATAGTAACTCGTGGCCACAAGATAGTAACTCCTCGCCTCAAGATAGTAACTCGTGGCCACAAGATAGTAACTCGTGGCCACAGATAGTAACTCGTGGCCTCAAGATAGTAACTCGTGGCCTCAAGATAGTAACTCGTGGCCTCAAGATAGTATCTTGAGGCCACGAGTTACTATCTTGAGGCCACGAGTTACTATCTTATATTTATATCGTGGCCTCAAGATAGTAACTCGTGGCCTCAAGATAGTATCTTGTGGACACGAGTTACTATCTTGAGGCGAGGAGTTACTATCTTGTGGCCACGAGTTACTATCTTGAGGCGAGGAGTTACTATCTTGTGGCCACGAGTTACTATCTTGAGGCCACGAGTTACTATCTTGAGGCCACGAGTTACTATCTTGAGGCCACGAGTTACTATCTTGAGGCCACGAGTTACTATCTTGAGTACTATCTTGTGGCCACGAGTTACTATCTTGTGGCCACGAGTTACTATCTTGAGGCCACGAGTTACTATCTTGAGGCCACGAGTTACTATCTTGTGGCCACGAGTTACTATCTTGAGGCCACGAGTTACTATCTTGAGGCCACGAGTTACTATCTTGAGTACTATCTTGTGGCCACGAGTTACTATCTTGTGGCCACGAGTTACTATCTTGTGGCCACGAGTTACTATCTTTAGGCCACGAGTTACTATCTTGAGGCCACGAGTTACTATCTTGTGGCCACGAGTTAGTATCTTGAGGCAACGAGTTACTATCTTGAGGCCACGAGTTACTATCTTGAGGCCACCAGTTACTATCTTGAGGCCACGAGTTACTATCTTGAGGCCACGAGTTACTATCTTGAGGCCACGAGTTACTATCTTGTGGCCACGAGTTACTATCTTGAGGCCACGAGTTACTATCTTGAGGCCACGAGTTACTATCTTGTGGCCACGAGTTACTATCTTGAGGCCACGAGTTACTATCTTGAGGCCACGAATTACTATCTTGTGGCCACGAGTTACTATCTTGTGGCCACGAGTTACTATCTTGAGGCCACGAGTTACTATCTTGAGGCCACGAGTTACTATCTTGAGGCCACGAGTTACTATCTTGAGCCCACGAGTTACTATCTTGAGCCCACGAGTTACTATCTTGAGCCCACGAGTTACTATCTTGAGGCCACGAGTTACTATCTTGAGCCCACGAGTTACTATCTTGAGGCCACGAGTTACTATCTTGTGGCCACGAGTTACTATCTTGAGGCCACGAGTTACTATCTTGAGGCCACGAGTTACTATCTTGAGGCCACGAGTTACTATCTTGTGGCCACGAGTTAGTATCTTGAGGCCACGAGTTACTATCTTGAGGCCACGAGTTAGTATCTTGAGGCCACGAGTTACTATCTTGAGGCCACGAGTTACTATCTTGAGGCCACGAGTTACTATCTTGAGGCCACGAGTTACTATCTTGAGGCCACGAGTTACTATCTTGAGGCCACGAGTTACTATCTTGTGGCCACGAGTTAGTATCTTGAGGCCACGAGTTACTATCTTGAGGCCACGAGTTACTATCTTGAGGCCACGAGTTAGTATCTTGAGGCCACGAGTTACTATCTTGAGGCCACGAGTTAGTATCTTGAGGCCACGAGTTACTATCTTGAGGCCACGAGTTACTATCTTGTGGCCACGAGTTACTATCTTGAGGCCACGAGTTACTATCTTGAGGCCACGAGTTAGTATCTTGAGGCCACGAGTTACTATCTTGAGGCCACGAGTTACTATCTTGAGGCCACGAGTTACTATCTTGTGGCCACAAGTTACTATCTTGAAGCCACGAGTTACTATCTTGAGGCCACGAGTTACTATCTTGAGGCCACGAGTTACTATCTCGAGGCCACGAGTTACTATCTTGAGGCCACGAGTTACTATCTTGTGGCCACGAGTTAGTATCTTGAGGCAACGAGTTACTATCTTGAGGCCACGAGTTACTATCTTGAGGCCACCAGTTACTATCTTGAGGCCACGAGTTACTATCTTGTGGCCACGAGTTACTATCTTGAGGCCACGAGTTACTATCTTGAGGCCACGAGTTACTATCTTGAGGCCACGAGTTACTATCTTGAGGCCACGAGTTACTATCTTGAGGCCACAAGATAGTTATAATAAATTTTTTTTACCAAAGTGGGACTAGAGGGATCCGTAGAAAGCCAATCAGAATTCGAAAAAGTATTATAAGCGCGAACGTAATGACGTTGGTTAGTGTGGACGACGCTAGTTATACAGTTATGTTAATTGTGTGAACGGGTCTTAATAAGGCGTTATTTGAGCTGTTCTCTCTCTCTCACTCTCTCTCTCTCTCTCTCTCTCTCCCTCTCAGTGACGTGTTTCGCCGTCAGGCCGTTCACAGCCCCGATCTGCCGTTCTCGCATGCCGTTCACACGGCCGTTGAGCAGTGGAGGAAAATCCCGCCCCTTCAACGAAAACAATATCACGTCACTGCCAAAATGTGAGCTATATAAAGAAAATTACGAATTACACACATTTCTGAAACTGACATGTTTGTGGAGTGTTAATAATTAACATTTATAAAATTAATCTTTGTTAACATTCATTGTTAGTTCACAGAGCGTTAACGTTAACAAGATTTTAATAAAGTATTAGTAAATCTTGAAATTAACAAAGATTGGTAGGCTAAATGCTGTATGTGCAGTTCATGTTAACTAATGTTAACTAACGAAACTTATTGCAAAGTGTTACCAATTAATTTATACAATAATAGTGTATTTGATTCTATTTGGAGCTGATTTGTCATTTTTAACCCCTTAGTTACAGAAATGGTGGATAACGAGCAAATCTCACAATAAGAAATACAGTCTTTAAGAGGTTTTGGGAATAAACTGCTTGTCTGGAATTGAAGATTTTTGTAATACTCCTCTAGGTTCATTAATTTGAAAAAACTGAACCAGAGAGCCAACAGAGCCGATGGACATCAGTCGATTCCCACAGGTCAGGATTTAGTATAATGGCTCACAGTGAATGTTTTATTTGCTGATTGATTAGAAATTCTCACCTAAACTTAATCTATGACTGAATTAAATACTAAACAACGAACCTCATTTGTGCAGGTAATGTGAAGAAAAAAAGTAAACGTGCTAAAAAGGCAGGGCCAGTTGAAGATCTCGCCGAGAGTGCACTTGCAGAATACTCACAGGTCATGGACGCCCCGGGGTCAAAGGTCAGCGATGGGTCAGAGGTCACCGCAGCCAACGAGGAGGACGTGTGTGCACAGTTCCTCAACCAGCTGTTCAACCACTGCGAATCTACCAACGAGGTCAATTAAAATCCTTCTGTATCACATTCTAAAGCCTCTATAATGATCAAAAAAAACGATCTAAATCTATTGTGGAAAATGATCTGTGTGTTTTCTCTCTTTCAGGCTGGTTTCGACATGGACTACATCAGCTCTCTTCTCTCCACAGATCACAACCTCACCGATGTCCTTAAGGAAAATTGCCAGGATTTGTTTTCCAGCAGCATTCCCAAGCCAGTCGCCGGATGCTCCAATTGGACTCCACAACGTGACTTCAGCCAGTATAATGGCTCCCATCTTCAAGATCACATGATGCAGGAATCATTTCGGATTAACACACCAACTGGGATGGAAAATGGCGGCCAGAACGCATTTCAAAGTTCCCAAGGCGAATCGATTCATTCTGCTTTCCAAGACTTTGGTCCGGCTGGAAACTCTCCAGGAGGAAAAGGCGAGACTTTGTTTGTCACTGAACTTGAAACCACCGTCCAATCCGAGTGCTTCAGTCTTCAAAACTACAAATCCCATCATGCATCATTTACGCATTCCATAAAACGTCCAAAAAACCCTGCGAATGGTGGAGTTAACCATGATGGAGAGAGAAACACGTTGGCCAGACAAAAAACGGAGAAAATGGTAAGTACAAAGGAAAAGAGAAACAAGAATACGGACATTCCCCTCGATTCTCAGAGAAATAATAGAGCGAAAACACAGACAAGCGTAAAGGAGACACCAGAGAAAAAGAACGCAAACCAGAACAAAAAACGGCAGAGGCAACGTAGAGGACGGAAGCAGGAAAAGGTGATCACGGCGCTCGATGAGAGAACAACAGACGATAAAAGAAAAACAGCTGAAAACCAAAGGAATAGAAATACTCAAGGCGGTCAACGAAAATCTGCAACCAAACATGGAGCGAAAGAAACTGATTTATTCAAAATAACCACAGAAAGAGAGGAATCACGGCAACGTACGGACGTGACCAAGGCGAGGAAAGTTAGAAGAGACGATGAGATTAAGAGACGACAAAGGCCGATAAAAAAAACGGGCAAATCGAGTCGACAAAAAACACAAACAGAAACAAACGATGGAAAAGAGCGGCAAAAATGGGCCATTGGTGAGAATGGAGATGGTTTTCCGATCGGGACGCGGTGGGACGCAACCAAAACGCACTCAAACCACCAACGAAGAGGCTTGAGGAGGATCAAGGTGGACGAATCGAACAAAAAATCCACTTGAGGCATAATAAAACATATAATTGAACCAGAGGAAATATCACGTCTTTATTTAAACTTCCCCTGTGGTGAAAAGTTTTTAATGTTGTTTATATGTCTATGTGGTGTTTAATACGCATGTCTAAATTCATAAGTCAATACAATACCATTGCTGAGTATTTTCTCCATAAAACTGCAATGAACCAACGACTTTTTGAAACGGTTTGGAATCGGTGATCCACCTTAACCAATCAGATCAACGTGCCGGCGGGCTTCAGCATATCATTAACAGTGAACTAGCGAGAGATTGCTTATCCCGATATTTTTCAGTTGATATGAAAAATTGGGTACAGCGGGTGAATGATGTATATTACAATGTTATGATGAACTATATGCCTTTCTACAGCGAGTTTTGAGTTGTTCGAACCGTTTCTGGTGAGATTGTTAAAGGCAACTGACTCTGAGATGGAGAACGGGAACGGCTTGTGTAACATTAGCAACACATTAAAGCTGTTTGACAACTTAGTCAAGCAAAAGGCTAATCATTAATTATCGTTATGTGTCCGAAGTTGTAAAGAGAGATAACATCGTTTTACCTCAGTGTGTTGGCCGAGCGAGCTGACGTAACGGAAGTGGAGACGGGGTTAATTTGCATATTAATGAATCCGCGGATAATAAATGAGGGGAAGGTGTCAAGTTACATTCACGCTTTCTTAAAGCACGAAGATTTTGTCTTTTTATGGTGATCAAAGATGAGTTTTAAGTGATAAAATTATTTAGAATTATATGACATCAGGAGAAATCTGATGGTTTTCTAACCTACACAGTGTAGGTTAGAAAAACAGGACAGGAGTAGAAAACCCAACGATCAAACCAACAAAACTTGTTTAAAAGGACTAAAACGTTCAAGTAAAAACATCACGTCTTCATTTAAGATTTTTAATATATTAAAGTATAAAATAATATGACACATCAGCAGAAGTCTTTGACAGCAAATGTCCAGTTTACAAAGTTTAAAATGACAAAAATATAGTTTTAAATACACATACAGATCCTCCAAGCATAATCATAAAAATATATCCACAAGTTTCCGAGGGGCGCTCCTGTAAAAAATAAAGTGGGTGAAACTTCCGGTGAGGCGGCGGAAGTAGCATTCCAATGGTATTTTGTGTGTTAGTTAGCGAAGAGGCTAGCTGTTTTTCGGAGAATTATTTCACTATTTAAAGACGCAAATCTTTATGAGAGATGTCGTTACAGAGCTCAGGGACAACATGTGCTGTTCGCGGTTGTATGTATAACCGGACTAAACTAATTCAGTGGCTTAAACGTGATTGTTTTGAACATAAGCTGAAAACGAAATCAGAGTGATCCTGCCAGAGCCCGTCTCTGATCCTGCCAACGACTGTAGTTTCCATCACCTCACAAAAGACGACGAATCTTCCTGTGTACATTTGTTTAAATTCTTAATATTCTATAAATTCTATCAGCATGTGTTTGGATGTTCTCTACTGATGTTACACCTAAACTCAGGATCAAAGCCTGTGTTGACAGAATACCAAATGTGCCAGTTAATGTATTCAAGCAGCACATTAATTTATAATTTTGAATAAACTCCAAAGCACAATGACTAAGTGTGTATTTTTTATTTTAATTGTTTGTCAGCTCACACAACTGTCTGTCACCATGCCTTGATGAGTATTGATTATTAATAATGTTATTATAATACTCCCAGCCAACTACTGCGGAGGGTAAAGGTACTGTTATTTCACCCTTTTTAATTTCGTTGAGGTTGTGTTCCCACATCGTTAGCTAGTTTGGATCGCTATAACTTGAATGACTGTCAACTGTTGAATGAACGAGTGTCAAGCATGTCAAATCGCGCTTTGTTTACTTCCAACCGGAAGTCGCGCCCACTTTTGACGCAAGGCCTCATGGGGCGTAGGAAACTTGTGGATAGGTTCTTGTTCCAAGGCACATTCCTTTAGTGTTACACTCTCACAGTATCGTTCCCAGTGCCCACAAGAAACCGGCGCAGATTAATAAGAAATCACTTGCACACATGTAAACGTAACCCTTTCACACACATAGCTTCATATCTCAGTTATTGCACATGCAGTGGGACGTTCGTTCCGGTATTGCGGCATTGCTACCGACCAAGCGACGCTCCTCAGTCTGACTTCCTATTGGTCGATCCATAGCCGTTATAAATCCCGTCGTTGCCGTTGGCCTTCCCATTGGGAACGGCATTGTGATTTCCCGCCGTGGCCTCAGTGGAACGGAGATACTCTGTAAAGACTTTCCGATAAACTGGATGCGTCATCAATAAGTCCTGCAGAGAAGCTTTGGGAGATGAATACGAAACCAGTTAGCATAACATTTTCAAGAAAAAAACATTTAAATATGTAATTCTGGTGATGAGTTTTAAGGGATAAAATTATTGACAACAGGGGGACTTTAAATCTTACGAAGATGCAATTTTATAGATGTACATCATAGACCATAAACTTTTGCTCGCGACAAAAGCAATCGTTTATAGGCTAGAGCTAGACCGTCCCATTTCACAACGATTCTTTGAAGGTTTTTACCTTCAGTCGGTCGCCCCCTGGTGGTCAGCGCTGAGAACATCTCGTCTATCGCGTACTGCGGGACTCCCACCAGCGCCCCCATCAGGCCGGACAGATCGCCCGCGCTCAGAAGCCCATCCTGGTCCGTGTCGAACCACTGTGAACAGAAGAGGGTTTGAACACTTGAGGAATGCATTACATTACAGAAACTTTACTGGCCATTACTATTTTTCACATGATTTAATTTAAAGCAGACAGAATGAATTCGGGGAGAGAAAAAAATCGAATTGCATGAATCATATTGAGATCATTGTGACATTTATTGTTTTTAGGGATACACGATATATCGGCCACCATATCGGTATCGGCCGAGATATGTACATTTTTAATAATATATCATTATCGGTCTGAGAAGTAATTTTGCCCGATATATTAAAGCTGATCTATAATATATTATTTCCTCTTCAGATTTATCGGCCAATTTATCCGTTATCGGCTTTCAAATATAAAGAATTATCGGTTATTGGCCAAAATGTTCATATCGGTGAATGAAAAAATTTTTTTTTATTAATTTTTAAATTAAATCTCTTTCCACTGTTGTTTTTGACAATTGTTTTTAACAATAAAATGGAGCAATTATCAGAGATAATTGCAATTTCTAAATCTAAATAAGCTAAATTACATTGCAGTTAAATTACATTATGAATAACTAAATATATAAATAATGTACATTTTCACAGAATTATAGTAAATAACATTGGGCCTATTTTTATTATAAATTGAATTATTAT